CCCCCCGTTTGGGTTTATTGTAATTTTTGTTAATTTATTTTACTTTTTTTGTATGTTTTTTTAACCGCCGGTTTACAATAATGTTATGTGTAACTCTAAAGCCTAATAACCCGTATTATATTATACCTACGCGATAAGCTGTGCACACGGCTACGGTTGTTGTATACCTACCATATATATTATTATACAAGGTGTAATTTACGGTTTTCCTTTACGTACGTTTCCGCCTGAAAATAATTGATTACCATTAAAAAAAAAAAAACTGCTGCTCTCAAATCGTCGGCACATAATTTCTTCAAGACCCAATTGATCCCATTTGATTATACTCTGATGGTTATACCAAGTTTAAATATTGTATTTCACTCGTTATTGTAATTTTACAAATCTTAGCATATATAAAAAAAATATTTTTCTTAGTACTCTTTGTAAATTATTTTGAACATAATACTTTTTGTCGTTTGTTCAGATGGATAATATTGTCATATTTTAAGCAGGACATTAATTTGAGTAAAATTTTGAGTTAAAATGTTATAACGCGTTATTTGTTTTTAACGTTTAATGATATCTTTTTTTTTTTTAGTATCATTTGATTTTATTGTTTAAACGTTAGTTATAAAAAAACCATTATTGACAAAAAATGCCATAAAGTAAAGAGTAAATTGTTGTATCAGCTTAACTGAGGTTCTCACTAACGTGGTGGTATTTAATTTTTAATTAATTTATAAATATTTATATTTTAAATACTATTCCGGCTTTTAGGTATAAAAATTAAAAAAATCGAATACTGTTAAGGAAATAATAATTAATTTAATTTTAAATGAATGAGAGGAGATCCAAATGTGATGCTCGTATTGGTTATCATATTAATATAATTTTTAGACAAATTGATGAAAATTATAAAACAAACGCCAATAGAAAAAATGTCTCATTGACAATACTACTAAATTGTATTCACAAAAACTAGATTTTGGGGCAAAGTTTACTTATATACTTTTGTTTTGATCACTTCGAACAATGACAAATAATTTTTATTCGGCATATATTATAGAACAAAAATTGACCAACTACACTTCAATCAATCAAAGTAGGTATACACTATTCATTGTATACAGGGGATATCCTATCGCATGTACTTGCGAATTCCTGAAAAGTTTTGCGGTCGTTTCGCCGCAATGTCTAAAACTTTTTTCACACAGAATTCCACAAGAAGCACTTAAGCTGTTATCCGCACAGAAACAAAAAAAAAATCAAATTTATTGTCTTTGCTGCGTTCAAGCACCGACGCCTGCATCCGATTTACGAGAACGCCATATAGAACTTTTAATAGTAATATAATAATAATAATATTAAGTTTATTCTTGTTGTAATATCTAAAAAGCATAATAAAAATGTCGACAACTCCCAAAAGGGCCAACTCGTGTGCATAAAATATGCGATTCGCCAAAATGTTAAGTTCTAACTAATAATTCTCCCGTGAAATTGTTATATAGATAAGTTTCAACTGAAATCGTTCTTAAAAACATTTTTAAATATTCGAGTGAAAACCCCAAACGGTATAATATTATGTAGGTTACATTAGGTTAGGTCAAGTCTGGTCAGGCCAGGTTAGTTTCACTTAACCCACGTTGTTTGACTTTAAAAAATTACCATTTATGACCGTTTGAACCAACCGTACTTAAAATTTAAGGATGATTTAACAATACTGAAACTATACAGGTTAGATACTCTACTTGCACAATTAGTTATAAAAACTGAAAAATTCAGGAAAAAAACTCTATCATTAATTGTCCTTTATAGTTTAAGTCAATGTGTATTATTCAATGAACAATAAAAGAGTGTTTGCGTTGAGTTAAGTCTCTTTTTTTTTCTCATTATAGTGTATTATGTGATAAGTTGACTTAAATTTTAGGGAATTTAAAGTTTAATAGTGCAACAAGAGTTTTGTAATTTTTTTTTTATACTGACTGAACCATTATTTTAATAATAAAAAGGTTATGTCTTTTAAACAAATTTTTATTTTGATACATTTCCAAATGGTTATATTTGACATAATTAAAAATATTAAATGTATTAAAATAATAAAATATTATTACTATTTGAATGACTTAATCCTTTTGTTTATAAACAGAAAGAGTAAACTCAACTCGATAAGATTTATATGATTTTTTTTCTCTTTACTTACATAAATAATAGTTTTTGACAACCCATTTTTTTACCCGCATCCACGTTATACCTAACATATATAATATATATATGTACCTATGTATATTTTTTTTTGTTAAAAAAATTACTTATTCGTCGTTTAATACCGTCCCGACATCTGTCGGACAATTATTTGCCAAGAAAACAACTATTATTGTTGCAACGAAACCATCCCAACTAAATATTATGTAAATTCGATTGGTTTTTTTTACCGGTCAGTGGACCTTTTTAACAGACAAATGATAAGGTTCTAATTCCCACAAAAATGCCGGAAAATGGTTACTTCAATTGGCATATAAGTGACGCACCGATTATTGAAGAGTTAGAAATTCAAAGCGAATTTAATTCAATTTCCACTACCTACTTACCGATTTAAAAGCATGTGTATGCATTGATATGACTGTTATTATATTTGTACAATGGTGGGCGATGTTGAACGTTTTCAAAGTGTTAGTAAAATATAGTAAGACATGTATCATTGCTACGAGTATAGGGAGGGGAAAAGGTATTTTTCTCAATATTCATATTTGTCTTACATCGGATGGATCACCCTGGGACACTTGCACCTGGTTAACATGAACTGCACGTCCTTGTCGGTTTTATCACGTCATTTGCATACATTTGAGCCGGCCAAAGTTTTTTCCCTGTCTTTTCAGCACCTGAGACCAATCCAAAGATGCGATAACCGATTCAATTGCATTGAACAAACGTCACACCGCCTATACAGACAGATAAGATGGACACTATCAGGAGCCGGGCACGCTCATTCGACGGGGAGCTAAGAAGATGTTAAATCCTTGAATCCTTTGGGTCTCTGATGGGGAAGGGACAGGCGGTTGCCGAGTATAGCCTTTCAATTTAAATTGAATCAAGAATGGCATTTATACTGCTAAATACTTATTACTTCTCCATCAATGTTTCCAATATAGTTTTAAGCTTTTGGACCCAAACCCTAACGGTTCTTACAGTAATTGTACCTGCCGGTCAACCGGCAAGTTACTCACTTCATAAGTTCTGTCACTGTGTTAACTGTTAAGATACACAATTCCAGGCTTTAAGCTTCCATCACACTTCAAAGGACTAAGGATTCCTTGTTTAAAGGTGACCCACGTGCAGAACTATAATTATTGTTGCTTGGCCCAGCATATTTCTACCCGGTTTCGATTGAATCTAACTTAATTTGATTGAACTATTGAAATGAATAGCAAGTAAAACTTTTTTTTTTTAAAGATATTATGTTTTAATTTAATAATTCAGTACCTACCTCGGGCTAAGTCAACAGGGTGAAAACTTTAGTTAGCAATTATTTTCTTCGGTGTTATTGTATTCGCCAAATTGAACGGTTCCCTACTAAAATAATTATTTATGTCCAGTAAAACTGAAGGTAATAAATAATTTGACAACATTTGCAGTTCAACCGCGAGTCGACAGCCGTAAAAAGATATTTTAATAATGCCAAATGCGAGTGAAGTAGTGCATGACTCAAAAGAATAATATAAAAACAAAAAAAAAACGGGCCCGATTTAGTAGTTTTTCAAGAAGAAATAAAAAGAAACGATATTGTGTCCGGGGCTTTTTTTTCTGTCTTCACAATACTCCGAAAGGAAGTCTAAACGGTACTTTTTTAACTTTGAAACTTTTTAAACCCTCTGAAAAATATGCGGTATCTGATCTGTATAATGCGCGGTTGATCGAACGAGGGAAAAACGTCTTATGGCATGATAGCCACTGTTAAATAGTTGTCAACAATAATGAATTTTCCCAAGTCATAAGCTGATAGCCTTGCTTGAGCTGAACAAAGTCTATTGACAAATCACCAAAGTAAAGTAGTGACATCTTTGAGTTGACTTTCATCCGTTGAACAAAAATGTCGTGTGGGGTTTAAACGAACAAGGCCAACGGCTTTCACCAAGTCCACACATCTGGTCGTTGCAGGGATTATGATGGGCAATACAATTTGTAAATAATTAAGTACCTACTTATTTTCGTCATAGAGAAAATCGACCGGGTTGGGTTGTCCAGACAAATTGCCGTCAACAAACGGCCGTGGTTTTACCGTTGTAAGTACATAATAGATAACACACTATACATATACCTAATGTGCAAAGAAAAAAAATGTGTGTACTCTTATAAGGTGCGTGGGTCGAGCAAATGTGTGTAATGTGTTCTGGTGGCAATAGGCGGTCTACCGTGTGGTCTTTACATACCAGGACGAAGACGACACAAGGGAAAGGGTGGCTAAATCGTTCCGTACAACCTACCCTCACCTCCCCCCCATTGAAGCCGACATTCGATTTTTATCTTTAACGATAACGCCCCAGGTTCAAAATTACTTTCTTTTTTTTTTTTGGCCCCGAAACTTTACTACTCCCGCCTCTCTCAAAGCCCATTTGTTTTGGCAAGGTTTTTTTTTTTTTGCTTGCCTGTACAACGACATAAGAAAATATTCTTAATATATTCTTACCGCCTCTCCGTCGTGTTTCGAATAATTCCTGTTGATCCACACAAATTTCCCCGCTGTGCCCAGATCCCACTGTAGTGGCTTTTTTTAAAAAATTATTTTGCTATTAAAAAAATATGTACCGTAATTATTATGTCTTTTCTTTTTATTATTGATAAAAAAACACAAAAATTTAAATCGAAAAATACGCCTAAAAAAATATATATATTAACCACTAACCCGGTAGCAGGTACTCATGGTTACCACAACCTAGTATATAAAAAAAAAATAGTATCAATTATTTTTATCACAGGCCTATTAACATTGATAATAATTAATAATATTTAAAATTGTTTATTAAAATACTCCCACCACCTTAAATCATTTATTTAAATTTGTTGAAACAAAAACGGTAAATAACTGTCAAACTAAGAATCCAAGAATTGTCTGATTACCAATTCTCAAATTTGTCCATTTTCCGTTTATGTCTATAACGATTTTGACTTTTAACAATGTTGTAATTCAAAAATAAATACTAACCAAAAGACTGCATCTTTGTTAATGACATTTAAAACTCTAAGTAATCATTATGAATAGTGTTGACTGTGGTACTCGTTAAATCGTTTTTAAAAATGCACTGTGTTCCGATTTGGCTTCATAAAATACAAGACAACGACAAAACTCCACAATGGTAATTTTTTCAATTATATTTAACCACTTGTTTTTTTTTAGTAATAATTTATTATTTTAAATTAGGTACACTTTAAATTTGTAGCCTTAAAAAAATTATTCAAGCCAAGAAAGAATTTGAATTAAATTGTGTATTTAGTTGATATTATTTTCATCATAAAATTGATTTACCAACGTGTTTGTTTGTTTGTTTTAGCATATACAGCTTGTGTTTTAGCGTTGATGGTTCTCAATTACTTGTAACGGCAGCCCAAGAAGTTCTCGTTTACCGTTCCGTAGATGGTTATCTATTGAGCACGTTAAAAGGTACAAACTCGCCAACTTATATATAGTTAATATGACAGTATAGAAAATGATATTAAATTATTATTGAGTATTTTTTTTTTGTTATATTTTATTTCTAGGACACAAGGACAATGTTTTTTGCTTGGCGAGTTCTAAAAATGGCAAACTGTTTGCTTCAGGTGGAGCCGATAAGACAGTTATACTGTGGTCTTATAAATTTGAACCAGTTGGAAAATACAAGTAAATATTAAATCGTTTGACCGAATTATTATGTTTTTTACTCAACATGTTGTTTTTCGGTCAATATTTAGTCACAACGATACCGTGCAGTGTATGTCGTTCAACCCGGTAAATCATAATCTGTTGAGCTGTAGTACATTTGAATTTGGACTATACCAGCTCGAGCAAAAGTCTTTTCAAAAATTCAAGACGTCAAGTAGAATAAATGCGTGCGCTTGGTCAAAAGACGGACAGTTATTTGCTTTAGGATTCGACAACGGCAATGTATCCATTCAAAATCAAATTGGCGAAGAATGTGCAAATATAGAAAAATCGGATGGTCATTCGATTTGGGCTATTGTTTGGTTACCGCCTAAGTAATTGGTTATATTTTATACAAACCACAGTTGTATTTAAAAAAAAAATTATACGTTATGTAATAGCTATTTTTTTTTAGAAATTACGAAGATGAAATGTTGTGCGTAACGGATTGGGGTAGAAAATTATCGTTTTATAAAAGTGATGGTTCCGAAGTAAATTGGTTACACTAATATTGTATTTTAATTTTAGTTATTGGCTTTTAACATACGCTCTCGGCTTGTCTACAGATTTCCAAAAGTAAACGAATCGATTTAGAAGCGTTGACAATGAAAACGTTGTGTAACGATTGTTATTTGTTAATTGGCGGCTGCAAGGGAAAATGTTGTGTGTACTCTGCCGACGGAGTTAAGCTTGGCGAATTGGAAGACAAGCAAAGCTGGATTTGGAGTTCGGCGGTACATCCCTGTTCGACGTTTATGGTGAGTGTAAACCTTTTTAGGCTCGTTCACGTTGAATTACAATATTTTTGATTTGTTCAACCACAAAGGCGTTAGGTTGCCAAGACGGAACGTTGGCTTATTACAAAATCGAATTCAGCGTAATACACGGACTTTACCAAGAAAAATATGCATTCAGGTATTACCAATTGCCGTTGTTAACGGTGTAACTGCACAGAGCGCACAACACAATTTGCTTGTTTTCCCGCGGTTGTGGTCACAACATCTTAGATTATTCTTGGGACGTTGTTAGTCGTCTTGGAAAAATCTTCGTAAACTATCTCACGTTATGGTTTTGGAAGTATGTATTAGTAGTAATTGTTTTGTAATGACCCTTTAAGCGGTGCTTTAAGCGAGCTTTTAGCTGGTTAACTTGTTCGCAGTGGAATTGTCTTCTTGTTTGCACCCACAGCTTTTTTCAAATCGGCCACCTTTGTCTCACTCTCGATTACGTCCAACCGTCTTATTCGCTACATATCTTTTTTTGTACGTGACAGTATAAAAAAAACCAATGAATAAGTTCACTAAATTGTAGAAGGTGATTTATATTGTCAAAAAAGTACTACAAGGCTTAAAATCGATTAACTTTTTATTTTGAAATGCACTTGCGATATATATATATATATTATATATTAACACTATTTGTTTTCGTATAAAATATTAATTACAAAGCTTGCAATACTTATGTATTTTTGTATCAATTACAATTTTTATCTTCGATGTGGTGTATTTTAATATTTTAGAGAGAATATGACTGATGTTGTAATTCAGGACTTGATCACTAACAAAAAAGTCAGAATTAAATGCAGAGATCTAATACAAAAAATCGCTATTTACAAAGATCGTTTAGCCGTGAGTAATAAATATAATAATTAGCAATCACGCCAAAACCATTGCACACAGAAAAAATAATTAAGTTAGTTTTTTAATTTGAAAAAAATATTCCTATAAAATCTCTTTGACGAAATACATTTAAATTCAATTTTTTCCCAAGAAACTATATTTTATTTGAATTTTTATTATAAACATACATTTTTAAATCAAACTGGTATACTTGAAACTCATCCCGAAAAAGAATATCGATGTTGTTTTACTTTTAAAGAGAAATCAAAATGTCCCATTTAAAGAATTACATTTTAAATTTACTGACTTAACATAAAAATGTTTACAGTGAAAAATGTACATTTAAAAATTTGTTTGTTTAGGTGCAATTACCGTCGAAAATAATTACCTACGAATCGTCTTCAATTCAAGCGCCCGAAATGCATTATCGCATAAAAGAAAAAATGACTGAAGTCGCAATGTGCAATTTACTTGTCGTGTGTTCGAATAATTTAGTTTTATGCGAGGTAAGCAAATAATTGCACTTATAAAAAAAAAAACCCGTTACAGAGCTAATTAATGTGATTAATGAATTTTCTATACAAACACAATTAGGAAACGAGACTTCAGTGTTTGTCGTTCGCCGGTGTTTTTGTTCGCGAATGGAATACGGACTCTGTAGTGAAATATTTAAAAGTGATCGGCGGCTCTGTCGGCAAAGAACAAATTCTCGTCGGTCTGGATAACGGACAAGTAATGACATTGTGTCACGTTTAGTCGAAGTAACAGTAATAACAATAATGTATGTATTTAGGTTTTAATGTTGCGAATCGACAGTACAATGGTACAACAGTTGTTTAACGTTAACAAGAGCGTTCGTTGTTTGGACGTCAACTTAACAATGAACAAAGCGGCCGTCGTCGACAGCGATAACAAGTGTTCGTTTTTTGATGTCCACTCGAAAAAGCTATTGTACCAAGTAAATAATTTTTTGTACACATTTTACAACCGCTTTTATTGAATATACACATATTGTTATTGTTATGTTCTCTGTTTAAAGGAATCGGAAACCACCAGTGTTGCGTGGAATTCCAAATTTGCCGACATGGTGTGTTTTTCTGGTAGAAATATGTTCAACATTAAAGTGAACGAGTTCCCGGCTCATCAACAAAGAATCACTGTACGGATTAAGTATTTACGTTAGCTACGTACCAATAACGTTCAATCTTCTTACATGTTGTTAACATTTTACAGGGACATGTAATTGGAATGTGTGGATCAAAAATTTTCGCTCTCAACGACTCGTTGGTGACTGTCGTTGAAGTCGCTCTCTCCGTTCCACTTTATCAATATATAGAAAAAAAATATTTTGGGTATTTATTAATATTGTTAATTAATTATGTTGATTATTAAATCAAGCGATATACATTTTATTCATAAGACCGTATTTGTTTTTTTTTTTTAGTGAATCGTACCAAATTGCTTGTCTTAACGTCACGGACTCCGATTGGAGGATACTGGCCCGAGAAGCCTTGGAAAATTTCAATTTCCGAATAGCCAAAAAAGGATTTGCTCGTATTAAAGAGTTGAAATATTTAGAACTCGTTGCACAATACGAAGTACGGATGATAATTAAATTTTTTTTTTTTTAATTTCTAATAAATAATACATTTTTCTAACGTAATACAATAACAACACAGGAAACCGGATTGCACGGTGAAAAAGACAAACACTGTCTGTTGGCCGACGCCTTCACTTACGAAGGTAAATTCAAAGAAGCCGCTAGAATTTATCAAAAATGGGGATTCGAACACAAAGCGTTCACCATGTACACGGATTTAAGAATGTTTGATATGGCTCAAGTACGATTGTGCTTAACGAGTAGAGCTTAATAAAATTACCTTCTTAAAAGCGATATTGTTTTTTTAGGAATTTATCGGTTCAAACACGGTAGGAGACAATAAGGATTTACTTCTAAAACGAGCGGAATGGGCCATGAGCATAGACGAGTTTAAAGTAGCAGCCGAGCTTTACATTTCGGCCGAAGAATATAATCGAGCTATTGATATCATGGTACACAACGGTTGGTCGCAAATGTAAGTTACAACTTATAGTTAGATTATTTTACTTTATTAAGTATAAAATATAACACAATGTTATGTATACTTTTTATGTAGTTTGATTTTTTCTTTTTATGTATGTTAAAGGTTATTACAACTAGGTCGTCGCCTGGACAAAGCCGAAGAAACTATTTTAGCCAGGATCGGTGATGAACTTCGTAGGTTAGGCGATGTGGACAGTGCGGCGGAAATGTACTCGAAAATGGGCAAAGACGCCGGACTCGATATGGTGACTTTACACGTTGAAGCGCGCAACTGGGAACAAGCGTTCGTATTGGTGACGAAAAATCCTACGTACGCCCCGCTCGTATATCTGCCGTACGCCGAGTGGCTAGCTGAAAACGATAAATTCATTGAAGCTCAAAAAGGTATTAGATTAGTGTAATAGTATATTCTGAAATACACAAATAATGTAATTTTCAATATTTTAGCGTTTATGAAAGGCGGTCGACCTGAACGTGCATTCAAAGTGTTGGAAATTCTAACCGAAAACGCTGTCGACGAACAACGATTTCAAGAAGCCAGTTATTACTATTGGTTGTTGAGCCGACAATGTTTAAACATTGCGTCAAACGGGTAGGAATTTTTCATTATTTTACTTTTAGTACTAAACACACACCACATCACTGCATTTACTAAATATTAATATCTTATTAAAGTAATAGATTTGCGAATTCAAAATTTATACATTTTAACCAACAATTATTTTTTTTTAGCGACGACAACACTGACGACATAATAAGCAAATTTCATTTGTACGACAAGTACGCTTCGATTTATTATGCATATCACGCCGTCCATCGATATATGGTCAGTGAAATAGTTTATAGCGTATTTTCAATACAAAGTAGTAATAATAATAATAATAAATCGTCTGTTCTCAGGAAGACCCTTTCACGTCGCATCAGCCGGAAACATTATTCAATATATCACGGTTCCTCATGAACGAAACAAGAGATATCCAACCAAAAGGCGTTTCGAAATTGTAAGAAATATAAATATCTTTTCATTGATATATTTTACCATTTTTGTCTTAGTTAAATCTCACGGGAGACGGTATTTGTTGTATTTTTCAAGTATTATTCTGTATTCGTTGTCGAAACAAGCATTAAGTATGGGCGCTTTCAAATTAGCGAGACAAACCCTAAACATGTTGAGAAACTTAAGAATACCGGTCAAGTATCAGGTAAGACTTTTTTCGACAAATCGTTAACTTCAGCTGAGTTCACAGAGTTTAATAATTTATTGTATTTTATAAGACTTCTGTGGATCTTGCTACATTAAGCATCCGTGCAAAGCCGTTCCACGACAACGAAGATCTCTTGTCCATGTGCTATAGATGTTTAACGTACAATTCGCCCGGATTACAACAATGTGTTACTTGTAATCACAAATTTATATTTTCGTACATTAAATTCGGTTTGTAATTATTAGTTTTTTTTTTTTTAACTATTCTTCTAACTGGAGTCTGTATATTATTATAATTTTAAAAAAAAATACATTTGTACAGAAATATTGCCGCTGATAGAATTCCACGTAGAAGACGATATATCGGACACAGACGCATTAAAATTAATTCACAGTTCTAACGACGTCGTCACATCACAAACAAACCAAAGCAAATCACAAGACACCGAAACATTAGTTTTGGACGAAGAAAATCCAGACAACTCTATCGATCCGTTTACCTACAAACTTATTAATTTCGAGGTAACGTTAAAACAATAATTTTGTATATTCTAATACGCCAATATTGAAACGCATTTATATTTTCTCAGACTGAAGGAACGGATCGTCACTCCGTCGTAGTCAATAGGTCAACACTCCGAACAATGAACGTCAACAGCGTTATAGTATGCAAATGGCCGAAGCCGTTAAAGTATAAATATTACAGAAATTTATTACCCGGGTTTTTGGTAACCAACTGTGAAAATTGTTTCAAGGTGAGCAAACCGTGTAATTATTATTAGCATAAAAATGTAAACTAAATAATATTTTAAAAATCAATGCGAAACCAAAGAGGCAGTTTTGTATTTAAGTGTCTGGGCTGACGATAACTTTATATTTAGTCATATTTTCTGATCCAACTTATTGTTATTTGTTTTAGCTGTTTCATTCGGACGAGTACGAAGTGGAATTATTGAGACAAGGATACTGCCCGTTTTGCAGAACTCAAGATCCAAGGACATCTGAAGGAAATAATTAACAAAAAACCTCTAATAGTTGTACTTAAAGAAAAAAAATATATTATTTTAAAACTTAAGCATCGGATTTTTTGCTTTTTCCTAATTTCTTGAGGGTCAACGCTGCTCTTTTCTGCGATTCCAAAATGGCGCTAGCCCTTCTCAAGGAAGCCTGAAATAATTTCAATACAATATAAAGATCTCCTAAATGTAAGTAAAAAAGGTTAAGATACCGAGACGTCTGGTTTGATATTTCAGACCCAGTTAATGGTGCATGCAAATGGGCTTTGCCCTGATCAATTAGTTGTGTAACCACTGGGTTTAAATCATAGAACCGGATTCAGACTAATAAACAATACTTCTTAACTGAATTGGAAGCCCCCGTAAAAAGGAATAATCAGTTTGGGTTAGGTAACTTGAAATGTACAACTAAAAAAAGTGGGTGCACACAAGCCTGAGGGTCATGTCATCAAATAAGACGTCCAAGTCTCTAATTACTGAAGAATGTTTTACCTGTATCAAATCTTTCCTGTAGCTGTTGCCAAGCAGATATTTGCGCAGTTTGAACAGTGATCGTCTTGGTCCAGACGAGAAAGTGGTTTTGATTAGGGCCTTTCCAGGTTTATACTAAATTGACAAAATTTAAACGTTAATTACATAAACAGATCAGCATATAATTTTAATTAAAATTTGATAAATAGTTAGCACAGGAGAAAAAACTGATATTTTTACACATAAAATATAAGCACAATCAACTAAAAAAAAAAATTTTTTACACCTAATGAAAACAAGACTGTTAAAAAAAAATTTTTTTTAAGTTTCTAAACACCAATCAGTTATTAAATATATATATTCACTTCAAAGTAGTTCAGAGTTGGTGAAGCTATAATCATCAGTTAGGTTTAGGATATTCTTTCAATAAAAACAAAGTAAAATATTAGTTAAAAAAACACTGGCCAGAGATTCTTTCAATATATTGATATTTCATTTTTAAGGTTTCCAAAAAAACTGTATAAATTTACTTGATTGTACACTTTTTTTTTCTACTAAATTATAATTTTAATGTTCCGACTACAACTTATTCCAGAAATAAAATATACGTATTATCTAATTCCAAAATTCAATAACTTTTGAACCAGAAGAGTCAGCATATTGTAACTTTGATTGTTGATTTGTAATAAGTACTACAATATGGAAACAATAAAAAAAAAGGGAGTTTTTAAAAAGTATTCCTATAAAATACCCATCAGTTAATAATATATATAAATTCACTTCAAAGAATTTCAGAGTTGGTGAAGCTATATTCATCATTTGGGTTTAAAGATAGTCTTTAAAAGATAAAACTGTAAGTAAAATGTCCAAAAGCACAACTCTAACAAGATGACTCTTTCTGGATAAAAATTTATTTTGGCACCATTTATGTTAGTTTTTAAATTTTAAGCCAACAATCAATATAATGTAGACTATATTATACAGCCTAGGCTAAACCATTAAAAAATAACATTTAATTTGTCTAGTGAAACAAAAAAAAATGTTATAGTCAAAAAATACTACTACTTGTTTACGTGGTAGAAATACTGGTGTTTCATTTTTTAATTGAATAGGCTAAAATTATTAGAAATAAGAATAAATCTCAATTACCGCCAACTTGCGCTTCTTGGTGATAACGGTGAAACCTTTGTTATTAGGACCGGGTTCAACACCGATGCTGTTGTCGTTAACGAGACCATTATAACGTTTAGAGGCCAAGTTGGTCAGGTTCATGGGTTCCTGCAAACGGAACAAAATTAAGTAAATTATAGCGAAAACGTTTCACGTGAAATTACAACACACCTTGCTAAATGGCTTCTTAATGTTAGTCTTCTTAGATAAGAAGGCATTGTTGTTTCTAATGATCATCCAACTCAAATCAGCCGACATGATGACGAGTTCTGAACACACAAAATTAAATAAATTAAATTAAGCATAAAAAAATCCTTTAAAATCACATGGTTTTTATTTAACATATATACAATTGCAAAAGTAAATGTTTGATCCCATCAAACATTTATACACCAGTACTATAGCCGACAATACAGTAAAAAAAAATTAAAAAGCCTAAAAGTTATGAACATAATCTTGATTAGTTTACAGACTTAGGATACTTACGATTTAACTTATTGTCGAAATATCACTACAAATTTTAAAGTTCAATCCAACAGCACAATTTGTTCTCTTGACAAATTATACGTACAAACGAAAAAGAGAAGAGAACCTCAAAAAACGAAGTCGGACAACGTAACCACATGGTAGTTGGTACTCTAGATAAAACAAATTGATATAGTATGTTGGCAACAGTGAAAGTCCTAGTGTTTATACCATAGAGCCAAGACAAGGATTATACCGCGGTAGTGATTTACGGAACATATTATCAATAGTCTTGGTTATAACCGTTAACCACTATATAGATGATAATAATACACTTTTACATCTGATAATACTGCCGAATACCGACAGGCGACAGGCGGAAATTTTCATTTTTCAAATTACAATTTGCAATGTATATTTAATAGATTAATGGTTAGTCTAATCTGGCTTCCTTTGAATGGCGCCTGAGTTTCATTCCTGATCAATAATTATTGTCTTTACATAATTTCTCATACTAGTTAATGACTTTACCGTGTTATCCATTGTCTTCTGTGAGTACTGCAACTAAAAAATGTTCATTATTTTTAAAAATAAAACAATTTTAATGTTTTTAGATTTAAAATCTTAAGTCTAGTTTTAATGGCAATGATGTCATTCTCTACAACATGTTTATTGCAACAGCCAAATCGTTATTTAGTTGCTATGTGTGTTAGACACAGAAGTCAGCGTAGAAACTTGGGTTTACCTCCTAATGTTGCGAAAACATTGCAAACAAGACTAGAAGGTAGGTTATGTTAATCTACATAAATAATGTACAAGGTTACAGCTGATATTAGCTATACACCATAATAATAGTTAACTTGTACTTAATGATGATATTTTAGAATTGAACTTCAAAGACCCGTCGATTCATTATAAAGTCGATATAGGACTACCCCCAACTCTGAGAGATAAGAAAAAAGAAAATGCGAGTCGTATAGAATACTTGAAAAAAATAAAAAGCAATCCAGAACTAGAAAAATTGGCTCGCAATAATCAATGTATGCATAGATTATAAATTAATTGATTGGATATAGAAATAACCTCGGCACAATCTTTAAATTATGTGTAAATGTGTTTTCTGTTCGAGCTTAATTCATGTGAAATTGCTTTTAGTGCCCGTTTCGTTGGAAGATATAACAAACGAATGGTCCAAAACAAATGCACCATTACACATTAAAAAAGTAGCTGAACATTATGGTGTGTTTGAACATTTATTTGGAGATGCTTACTTCATGCCGTACATTCAATTAGATATAACCTACGAACATAATTCGACAAAAGTTCCTGTGTATCGTGGAAACATCATTAAGCCTACTGAAGTAAATTACCTGTATAAATGTTAAGTTCCTAAGTGAAGTTAAAGTTTTATTATTATTTAACAGGCAACGAGTGCGCCCAATGTTAAATTTGAATCTTTGGCTGATTCACTGTGGACGTTAGCTCTAACAAACCCCGACGGACATTTACAAAAAGAAAACTCGGAATATATACATTGGCTCGTGTAAGTAGTGTCTTATTAAGTATGTTTAATAAAATTAATCGTGTTGTACATAAAAATAAATAAACATTATTTTAGCGGAAACATACCAGACGGAGATGTATCCAAAGGCGAAACCGTCTTCAGTTATTTACAACCTTTTCCTGCAAAAGGAACAGGATATCAAAGGATGATTTTCGTTCTGTATCAGCAAACATCGAAAATAGATTTTACTCAACTGAAGAAATCGCCCTCAGACGAGTATGTCGAGTAGTTTTTTTTGGCTTTTTGTATAACAAGATATTAAACTTGTATTTTTCTACACGTTTAAGGATCGATTTGGACGAGCGAACGTTTAGTACTTTTGATTTTTATCGCTCTAAGCAAGACAGTATTACACCAGCCGGATTAGGTTTTTATCAAACGGATTGGGATACGAGTATAACAGCTTTTTACCAAGATAAGCTTCAAACGGCCGAACCAATATACGAATATGATTTTCCATCCCCTTACGTCAAACCTCAAACGTGGTTTCCCATTAAACAACCATTCAATTTGTAATAATATCGTTACTTTTAAAGAGATTTTAAAATGTCTTCCTAACACGTGTATGTTTCTGTTGACAGGTACATGGACAAGTACAGGGATGAAAAACAAATTGCAAAAGAATTTCTATTGAAAAAACTGAAGAACAGACATCCTTTCCAGAAACCAGAAACGTCTCTTAAATATCCAAATGCTGTCCCATTCAAGAAGTACACTCCGTCATGGTTAAAACTCGAAATAAAAAAAGAGCGCTCAAAGTGGGGTCGTGTAAACGATTATTAATTTTGTAATTTTTCCCCACAATGTTGGATAATACATATTTACAGTCGAATACATTTTTTTTTTTATTAGTTAACTTGTATTTTAATATTTTTTATTTGTTCGACCAAATCATCATTTGAACTGTTTCCTTTTTCATTCTGTGTATCGTCTTGAGACATTGTTATTTGCTCAGCTTTCTTCTGATGGTTGATTTCTTGGCTTTTACTAAAACAAAATATTGTAATTTTACAATACATATTAAGAATAACAGCTAGAATAGTAAATAATAATAATTTCTTAAAGACATACTTGGAGTTCGGTTGACTTAATAGTTTAAACTGAGGTATTGTTTCGGATTCGCGCACCCACAGAGGGCTGGTCAAAAGTTGATTGTGAAGATACTTTGAACATTTGTAACACTCATTACTACAAAATTTCTAAAACAATAAAAAATAATAATAATAAACATACTATAGTAATACTTATTTTGTATGATTACTATTATCGATGACAAATAAACAGTAATTAAACAATAAATTCATAAAGCCCCAACATACACGGCGCCGAGTTTGGCGAGCCAAATTAATAAAAGAAACATACAATTTACCTTACGCTCTGTTATATCAAAAACTTTATTATGAGTTAGTGATATATGGTATTGATGTTTGGGTATGGAAGTTAAATGTTCACTACACGCGATGTATCCACATTTTTTTATAATGAAACGTTCTTCTACAACATCTTCGTAATGAGACGCATTTATAAAACCCAACTAAAATATAAACAGTTTAAATAATCGATTAATTAATTTTTTAACGGAAATCTTAAACGATTTTAGTGATGATACTAAAATTGCAATAATTTATAATATTATCATTATACAAAAGCATATAGATATTATATAATTTATTATTACTTTATTTAACATATCTATTTCTTCCAGTTCACCATCGATTAATTCTATTACGATATTCAAAGCTATTTTTTCACATTCTTTCTTTTTTTTTATTTCAGCGAGCAATTTGGCCCTGTTAAACGGTTAAACATTAATAATAGTTTAGACATATTTGATGAGACTATATATTTAGTGTTCGAACAAAGCTCGACGAAGAAAAACATACCGCACTGATGGTTTCCTTTTCGATTTAGCTGATTTTGGTTTATTTAAACATTCCATTTATGGTATATTTTAATTAAATCCAAAAACAAACACGATATTCGATTTGTCAATAAATATTAGAAATGAAATTGAACTAGAATAATGTAAGAACTAACATGAATAAATATAACATCAAATAAGTAAACTTATTATTGCTTGTTAAATTCAAAATAAAATTAGTGTTATCAATTGTGCACTGTCCATGACTGATAACAGCTGATAAGAAAAATGATAACGACTCTATTTGGACCACAGTGGTTACCAAATGGTAACATAAGAGCCATCAGCTCGCCAAAAATTATCAAGTGTATTGATGGCGCTAATTTACAAAATAAACGTCTTATATAATGTGCATTTAATATATTTGTTATTATTTACTGTAATCACTATTTCATTATTTATTATAATGTAGTCATTTTTTTTTTTTATTTAAATACTTCATCATTTTTGTTTCCACATTCCAAATATTCATCCCTCACAGCGATCGTTTTGATTTCTGAAAGTTTTATATTAATGAGAACTTTATCAATTGTTTCAAAATAAAAAACATATATTTTTTTTCAATATTACAACACGATAGTTATTATAAATTATACATATAAAATATTACAATAATACGTTAAAAAAGTTAATTTACAATAGTAATACACATTAAATTATAAACCCGCCTTTGGAATAAAGGAGATGACTGTAAAGAAATGGATATTTTTTAAAATAAAGATGTCGGAGGAAGAATAACTTAAAACATGTAACAGGGATAGAAGGAAAAATTTTTGGAATGTGGTAAAGGTCGCAAAGGGCCTCGCCACAATAAATGAAATTCTAAGGATTGAACAAATAATGAGCTGAAAGGAAATAATGACCAAACCAAATGCCGATGAAGAAGCCAAAACCATGGACTTGGACGACGAGTACAGGCGGTCGGAGGATAAAGGAATGTTTGGGAGAGAGGAATAAGTAACTAGAACAGTTTTGAATTTCTTTAGTAATTATTTTCAGCTGTATTGGCGTTGATAAATAACATTTTATCTACAAGTTCTTGACTTATTTGCGATCTTTTGATAAAATATAAAATTTGTGATTCTAATGGTAATTTGCTTGAAGATCCGCTCAGAGCATACACAAAGTGTTTTCTTGCCAGACGGATTAAATTCTGACACTTGGATATCATACGCGACCACCATTGAAGAGGGCATTCTTCTAGACACGGTGTTTGCTCAGATTCGTATTGTGCTATTTCCAAATTTAGTCGATCCTCGAGTGACATGTGCGCTTTGATATCGGGGGAATGTTTCACAGTGGTGACTCCGCCCAGTAAAAAACCAATACCTAGAAATATTGGTAAAGAAATATTACAAATCATATTTGTCGTGAATCGTTACTCTCGTTTGATACACACCCGAAACTCTAGTTTTTTTGGGAGGATTTGAATCGATAATGGAACAGGGTTTATCGTAGGGCACCGATCCTTCAGATTCAACCATCTTGACCAGCTCTTGTTTGATCGTCGGAAGATGTTCCTCGCCTTCATTCATCGGGAAGTCCTTAAATCGGGGATCCAGCAACGTTGAAATGTGTAAAAACGTCTGAATGGTAATATCGCTGTACCTGTAAATCGATCGACTTAATATTAAACAAAACAAATCGGTTAAAAAATGTTGGTGCGTGTCTGCTTACTTCCAATGCAATTCATTTGCGAAAGTATTTTTCAAACTCGCTGCGAGTGGTGAATCTTCAGGTTTTACTTTCAAATGATAACTCGTCAGTTGGTTAATCAAAGGCTTTAACAGTGAAATTAATGGTATTTTTTCTTCACTCAAAGTCGTAACAGTAACTTTCAGTGGTTCGAGGGTTGTAACAACGTCTTCGATGATCGACCAGTCTTTATCGGTCAACAGTTCGTGAGAGAAAAAGTCCACTTCTAAGTTATTGCACAATGTCTTTATGTTCTCTTTTCGTTGTACAAAACGCTCCAGGAAATGATACGTCGTTGTCCAAATTTGTGGATACTCGCGACTGAGAAATGAATTAAAAACTTGAACGATATTGTCTTGAACTGTAACTGACGTGAACGCATTGTGATGATGCAGTTTAGCAGACACTGCTCTGCATTTGGTTAAAACGTCTAACACTTCTTTTGTTTCAAAGCAGTATTTAGTACATAATTTCTGAAATTATATTTATTATTTACAGTAAGAATCATAAAATTTTTTTTTAAAAAATGATGTATGTAATTTGGAAAACTCTTGTATTGAAATGAGATGTACATAATATTAGAAAGATGAAGGGACAGATTGAATTAAATTTTTTAATAATTATTAAAAAATTATGCTCAGATTTGATTAGGTAAGCCATAAATGTTAAAGACACGCAATAAGCTGTTTCAGTGTAAATAATGTTCACACAGTGTAGATATTATGGAACCCATAAGAATAGTGTACTCGTGAATACACTTAGCGAGCGAGGTGAGAATTTCACGAATTTGAACGATATGTAGGAAGTATTTTAGTCTAAAAATGGCAAAAGTAATGAGTACAATTGTAATAACATTAGATCAGAGATCAATTAGTTTGAACCCTGTTTATATGCGTTAAATTTAATAATTAATAAAATTAAATTATTCGTATGTTTTCTAAATTCAACACCGACAGGTTAATAACAGCATCTTAAACGAAAGCAGTACCTACTTACTTGGAGTTCATATATAAGACAAGGAATAAGAACAAATCCTTGTGTAAGTAAAGCTGCTTCTAAATTAGTGTTGGTGAAAGCCGTTATAACGGTTTTCACTTGATCAATGTTAATGTTCCAATTGACAAACAACGATCCCAAAATACCGCACCATTCATTGGCAGTTGTATTAGGGTTACACAACATTGTACTTAACTGCTTGATACATAAGCCTTCTTTATCCAGCTAAAAATAATTAAGAATATACATTTCATTGCCTTGAAAACGTACAAATTAAAAAAAAAAAATATATATATATTACTTGTTGAAAAAATACACTAATCGTAATGTAAGTGTTTGAATTAGAACATGTCCATTCTTCAATGCCCAAAGAATATGTACTACACCCGTTTGCAATACAATTGAGGACGGCAGTTCGTGATGTTTCGTAGATTCTTGGTATTATGTCTTGTTCCAGTTTATATTTTCCTGGTATTTCGCATGGCGATCTAAGTGTGGCAATCAATCGTTGAAAACCTTTACCCTCGACAATGTCCGGTAAATGAAGATCGGTTACTACAAACTCGGTTATTGCATCAGAAACTACTTTATTGACCATATCGCAAGACTACAATGTAAAAACAATTAATATCGTAGAAGGTTTAGTTAAGACAAATTGTTAAATTGTCATTATTGTTACTTACAGTATTATCGATATCTTGAAAAATAACTGACATATGGGTCGGTTGCTCTTGTATTGGGGCAGTATTGTCTCCTTCATAATTTTCATTAATCTCTCCTTGTATAAATTCTTCTTGCTGTTCTAATTTTAATTGTTTTCCTCTGTAATTAGACTTGGTGACATCTACTTGTCCCTCCGAGGTGGCCAGTAACATGAGTTCATTCTTCCCGTGTTTCTTTTTTGGGGTTCCTTCTTTGGTTGAACCCATTTCCAAAACCATTAATTCATTTTTATGTCTACTTTGCAAATGCACTCGTAAATTGGTAGTGTTGCTTTTGTATGCAAACTGTTTTTTGCACAGTATACATATAATACGATCTTGTGTAAGTATAGATCCATTATCAGAAGCCGGAAAGCCAAAGTATTTCCAATAAGGACTGTGCATACGTTTCGGTACAACCAGTTTCTGATAACTAATGGTTTCTATATTGGTCCGGTCAGGTTTTACTTTGGCGTAAGGCCGTTTATTTTTTTTATTTTTTGGAGCTGAAACATCAAAACACATGTAATCACTGGATGTATTTGAACTATATTAAAAATACAATATTTTTCCATTATTATAACGGAAATTAGCAACTTTCGACCCATCCAGACTATTTAGTCTATTGGCGCTCATAGCTGTATTGAAATGTACTGAAATAATTGTTTAACCTATTCAAATGTTTGTCTGTAAGGCAGAATATACGTTTGTTTGAAATGAGTTTAATTAATCTAGCTAGTGTATACATGAAAATATTGAATATATAAATTAACAATATTAATAATTATCAGTATACCATCGGACTGACTAGATGGAGGCTGCGACGAAGTTTGTAAATACGGCTTTAAGTCTATTGAAATATTACTGTTCCGGCTCATATTACCGTTCTTTCAAATTACATAAATGTGTTTCAAGTGAAATTAAATTTAGTCAACTATTAAAAATAATATGCGTTAAGTTAAATTTGCCTCCAAAATTGAGGTAACATTCAAAAAACACAGTCCGCATAACAATCGATAACGCGATTTATTTGATTGTCTATCGAAATCAATTTCTGAATTCGGCTACCATAAAGGACAACAGCTTACGGGACGTGGTAAAATCTAGGACGGCAATTTTTGGGTAACCAAAATCGATCGATGTTCCCAGCTGTTATCACAGCGTGACGTAACCGCGGTTGCTGCCGAGTGCCGTAGATAACACGTGGACCACGCGTGTGCAGTGTGACCAACCACAGCTGATATGAGCTAATGTTACGAGGACGTGATAGCGGTGATACCCCCTATACTCTAAGGAGTTAGATGTAAGCAATTTATTGCAAAATCTTAATTTAAAGCTACAACGTATTAAACTATGTGTAATTATTAGTTAAGTAATTAGAACTCTATTTTGGTAGTACGTTTATTTTTCAGAGTTCAGACTATCACAGCACATCTTTATCAATGATTGTAAAACGATTTTTTTTGCATCTAAAACCAATTATGCTGAATTTGTTTTACCGAGTCCATAGTTGTTTCAGAGAAAAACACCCATTTTAAAAAATCAAAAGACAACAACATTTTTGAGACAATGCCATATTCGCAATTAAAATCTGTGTATTTACTTCTTTCATCTAAACTCATTTTCGTCGAGACCATTCTAAAATAGAAGAATTGAGAAATTCGGCCCATTATAGAATCCGTTTAACTTTTAATTAAATAATTGTACAAAAGGTATTTTATTGTCAGTTGACATCTAGCCATAAACGGTAATGCGTAATGTAAACACTAAACTAGTACTGGTATTACCTCTAGACATTTCATAAACTTACTAAAAGTAATATTGTAAAAATGTCCCAAGACAACATTTACATGAGCTTCATCAGTCGCATTGACTTCAGCATGCCGATATTCTAAATTTAATTTAAAAAAATTACACTCACACATGAGCAAAATAAATACTAATTAGTGTGAATTGCGACAAAAAATTAATTAAACAAATTATCAATAAATAATATTGTAATTAATAAATCCAAATATAAAATTAATAAATACACGTATACCTAAAATCTAAATAATATATTTTGTATCTTGTACACCCGGACAAATCGCCACAGTATTAACTAAAAATATACATATACATGGCTGCGCAGTCATAGTGTTGTGTTGGTAGAATTTTAAGTCCAGTATATTTGTCGGTATTCACATTTCAATGAACGGGAAACAAAAAATAAATGAACATTATTATTATTTTGTTTGTTATTAAATTATTTTGACATTCTAAAATTAAATTAATATACAATATGTATAATGTATTTACAAGATAGGAAACGTCCGATAAATTAATGTACCTACTAAAATATTAAAATATAACCTTACAAATGAATAAATACACATAAAACTTATAATTATTATTTTATATTTCGCTATACAAAATTTGTGAGTCCGAACATGTTTAGAGTAAACTCTTTGGATTTGATCTGATCGTACACATCATAAAGATTTTAAATAATATTATTATAATATATACCAGCAGATCTGTTTAACATTATTGAATTAGTCAAAACATCTGACAAACAAACGAGGTTCTAGTTTCTATTATATTGTACTATTTGTTAGGTACTGATAAACACGACTATATAATAAAACTATAATATATACTGTGTAACAAAATTTGTATACAACTAATTATTCTATTTTTTGTTTTGTTTAAAAAAAAAAATACTTTTTTTTTTACCTCATTTGCATTGATTTATACATTATTTGTGTTTGCCTACATTAAATTAACTAACACAACACTTATTATTAAATATTCAAAGGTTCAATTACGAGGTAAAAAGTTGTAATTTATTTGTTACGTTAAATTCTTACGGATAAAACCCCAAAAACTAGGGTAAACACAGAGTGCGAAAGAAACAATATTACGATTATGGAAAAGATGATATCGAACCAAATTTGTAAACGACTAGACTTTTACATTTATTACTATTGGATACCAGGAAATATTGATCTTACCCGGCAAAATAAATCATATTTGAATAAAATCTGAAATAGTTAATACTGTATAATTTAATTTAAAAAAAATAATAATAATAATTATAATCCTAATCACATTTAGTAAGAATTTTGTTTGTTACATAAAATAATAATAAAAAAAAAACATTTGGACATCTTAATTCATGGAATAGTTATCTTTAAAATAAAATATTTTAATTACACGTATCATTATTAATTTGTTACATAGATTTTTTTTTAAAATAAATTGTATAAAATAAATGGTCATAACTATAAATAATAAAAAATATTAAAATTTATATAAAACGTATTTTATAGATTGTAACAAAATTGCATCATTGGATAAATGTCATTAGGTCACGATTAAAATTAGTTTGAATATTAGTAGTCTACACCGAACTTCAATAATGGTAAAAAATAATAGTAATAAAAAAAATATACTTATAAATTATATATATTTTTTTTTTTGCACTGGAATACAGATCAAAATATGATTTATCATTTTTCGAATAGTATTTGTCGTTGAAATAAATAAGTTTACATACATAATTTCGCTAATTGAATTCAATTTGTTTGTAACAAACTACAATTACAAACTTAAGTTTGTTTCACCACATAAATATGCAACAATCAGTCTTAAGTTCTAGATTTATTACAAATTGCTCAATATTGTAAAATATATGTATATAATAAATGTATACATATATTTACACGGTCTATTATAACTTTTTTTTTTTTTACATTGTATTAAAGTTAATCATATCGCTGAGATCTGATAGAAAACTGCATTAGGAGTTGGGACCTAGAATCTAAAAACAACACGCGATTGGTTAATACAAAAGTTGTGATGAAAAAAAAAATGATTTATTGTTAAATTAGTTATAATTACATTGTCCACTATTTTTCACCAAGAGTCACCTTAGTAAACTCCAATTCTGTACAATTATACAAAAAAAAATTTAAAACTAAATTAGATATTTGTTTTTTTTTTGTGATAAATAAATAAATAGATATAGAATAAATAATAATAGTAGTAAAAAATAATTTACATACTTAAATGAATATATATAATTACTTTGTCGAATTGAATGTTTCCATATTTATTCGTTATTTTTAATAATTTAATAATACTCGTAAATAAAAGCTAATGTGCACGGAAAACTAGGAAAAATGGTATTTTTATTTAATAAAAAAAATAATAATAATAATCTCAAGAGGAACAATAACGTGCAAAATGCATAAATTATATTATGTAATTCAGAGTTATTGATCTTGACACTTCATTGCTTACTGCTTCATAAGCTGCCTTAATATTAAAATTTTAAGTACACATACACATTTTAAATATCATCACAGGAGGTAGATAATATTAGATAAGGGAAAAATAAAAATTTTCATAGAGAACTTTACAACACATTACATTCAAATTTTTTTACTTCACAGATTTCTAAAAAACAAAAAACAAAACCAAAAATTAAAGATGTTTGAAAGTAACTGCAAAATAGTTACAATGAATACGTATTTCCATACTCAAAGTAATTGTACTAATGTAATCTTAGTTAAAAATGTTTAACTTTGATTTTACCTAATAGAAAATATTGTTTCGTTCCTTTCTAAATTATCGGTTTTACATAATATGTTTATAACTATGTTTAAAAAATGGTTTCAAGAAGAAAACCATCTGAATACTATAATAAAATATATACACAAAATGGTTTTAAAATATTAACATACTACACTGAACACTTGACATTTTGAACTCTAGGATTGATTTTAGATTTTAACTTCACTGGTAAGTTATTGATTAATAATTAACATCAAGCAAATAAAGATCGTAAGTAGTAATTAAATACCCGAATTTAGTATCGTTTTCCAAAAAAAAAATTGTGATTGCCTTTTTTTTTTTAATACAAATATAACTCAATGTTTGAATTTTTTTTTTTTGGTGATCAATTTTACATATATTTTCTCTGAAAATAATTACAATTTTGTCTTTTCAGAACTCTAATAACTTATGAAACACGTAAAAATAAATATAAAAATTATTAATAAATGTTCACACTCGTGCTAATAATTTTAAATGTATTTACATAAAATCTGGATTAGTCATTATTTTTAGCAGGATTTAATAATAAACCTGCTAAATGCAGTTTTTAGCACTATAATTTCATAACATTTAGTTAAGAGAACGAACAACTACTTCAGATTACATAAAACCATAAATAATATTTGCTAACAATAAAGTTTTAAGGAAAAAAAAATTATAATTATTCTTAGAGAAAATAGAGTATTATATTATATTGATCAGCCTGTTTAGGGTAACATATATAAATATATATTTTGTTGTCACAGATATTGAAATTGCAATATTACACCAACACGGTAATACAATCATGTCCAATTAACACATCAATGTATGTGGTCTAATAAAATAAAACTATTATAGTACTTAATGAGTACCTGTATTTAAATTAATAAAAAAATAGTCTGATAGCTACAAATAAACAAAATAACTTCAGTATAAGCATGATAAAGAATATCAAATACCTAATAATTGGAACATAGTAGTGGTCTTAGGGAGACCTTGAAACAAAATTATAAAAAGTTTGTAAAAAATCAACATTAACAAAAAAGAAAAAAATTTGGGGTCACTCTTGGTAAAGTTGACACAATTATGTAAATAACAAAAACACTTGCCATTGAATATTTACGTTGTCCCTCCCTCATCGCCTTCACCCATGAACGAATTTTCCGATTTTAATTTTTCTAACGTTTTAATTTGTCGTTCTAAAAATAAAACCCTGAAACATTTAACAAAATAAATCAAAAAATGTATACAACACTTAATTTTTTGGACTAGGGTCTGAACGGGTATTCGCTAAGCCGTTGACAATAATTGCTTGTTACTATCTGTTAATCGTAAATCCTTCAAAGGATGGATCGCCAAACAGTCAAACGCTCGCAAAGACTAACGAATAGTATGGCGGCTTTTTGCATTTGCTCGTTCGGCACCATTCAGTGTACCGATTTCGGGGCTCGTCGACATTCAGACCCTAGTCTAAACACACTATACAAACCATAAAAATAACTTACTTATGTTCTAATAAGGATGCTTGTACTTCGGTTATACGCACGACGGATCGCGCATATTTTAATTCTGCAGACACTCGCGAACAATGTATGCTTCCTAATATGTGAGCTTCTTCACTCAATTTTTGTGCCTTAACAGAAACATTTAATTTAAGTACTTTATAATTGATAATTTTTCATTATTAGTATCATAAATGCAAATTTCATTGAGTTTCAACTACTATTGATAGCTCACCTTTCCTAGTATTAAATTTTTTTTAATAATTAGTTATTTGTAAACAAATATTTAACCCAAAATTTATAAAAAATAATAACATCTAATGTTATAAAACGTAAAACGGTACAAATTCTGCATTCAAGATAGTAAGTAATCAAATTCAATTGTTCAGATTTTGTTATTACTTGTTTTGCTAAAATATCAGCTGGCCAATTTTTTACATGAGATGTGAAATCATCACGAACTGAATTTGATACAATTGAAGACGTGGCTGTGCCACCAACACGGTAAGGTGTCACAGCATTTGCTTGGGCTTGTTCTGCATGGCTTATTATGGGGCTTCCTGTTAATTTTAAATTACATTGAAAAATTATAATTACATGGGAATGTAATAAACACACAGTAATAACACAGTGCAACACCTTATATTTATGTAAAAAAGTGTGTTCATTATAAATATATTTAAAAAAAATGTATATATATATATATATATATATTGCGGTCAACCGTGCGCGCAGTAACTAAAATGTATTTAACAACAACTACTGTTTGAACAAGTGCATACGAGAGTAATTTAGTTTCTATGCACGGTCGTTCTTTCGTGGGCCACAGTATATACATATATTATCATTTATACATAATGAAAACATTCTTTTACATAAAAATTATAGATTTTAGTAATAATAATAATAATAAGTTATTCATAACTGGCCCAACAAGACGTCTCCACCGATGGGTTTGCGCAACCCGCATACATACGGACCATGTTTTTATGTATGTTGTTTATTCTATGTTATTACTTTAGAGAAATAAAAACAAGTACCAATATATTTTACTCATCTACATAATCATACATTAATCTTTTTAAAACATGCCTGATGCCTCATCTAGATCATAGCCATAAAATTATAAATCAAATACACTTTTTTTTTTTATAAATATCTCAAAAATACTTCTTACAATATTTGGTAAACCAAAAAACAATTCATCATAATTAACAACACACGCCTAGTGATGTAAATTGTAGAAGTAAGAATTATTTGTTTGAGCATAAAATAAACTTTTATTTATGGGGTCTTATACTATGTACGAAAGAAAAAATATTTATCTTGTATAAAACAGACAATATAAATCACTAACTATATTGTTAACTAAGAAAACATCTAAACATTTTTAAAAATTGCCTTCATACATTTATAAAGTGCCGCGACGTGGAGCTCTAAAAAACAAAAATGACTCATCGTTATTTACAACGATGATACGTCTAGAAAATAGTATACTATAATTGTAATTACGAGTTCTTAAGATGAATGACTACACCTGCTGGGGAGAATGTCAAAAAGTAAACGCGTAAAAAATATATTTAAGGTTGAATATTTAAAAAAAATTACCTTTATTATTTTCTTGGGTATTAACAGATTCTGAATTTGTTGGCGTCGGAGGACCCCGCTCTGTAGTATTATTATTTGTCGATGATATTGAATCAACTAAATTTTGGGATACATTAGCTATTGGAGGTGGTGTTGCCGTTCTGGTATCAACATTTGTTCTTTCACACGAATCGTTATTAGATGGAATAGTTGTTTCTGCTCCAATTTTCACCTGCGGTTTCAATCCTTTTATTAATCAAGGTGCAATATGAAAATTAAAATGTTATTATTATTACAATTACCTGAGATTGAGGATTAGTAGAATTATGCCTTTGTTGTGCGGTCATTGTTGATAGTTGAAATGATTTTTCCGACGTAGGTGTGCTGTCGCCACTACATAATTCCATGTCTTGTGTTTGAGAAGAATCACCTAATGTTAACATATGTAATTACGAGTATAAGTTAAGATAATTATAACTCTAATACCAGGTTGCATGAGCTTTTATTAACGATTTAAAGTCAATCATATTTATATGTTTAGTAGCGAGGGCGCCATGGACGAGCGAGATGAAGTAGCCTTGTGTTACTGGGTGAGTAACCAGTTGGCAGGTACCGATTAGCCAAATTGTCAACATGGTAAAGCCCTTTAAATAGAGAAATCACAGGAAAAAAGTTGGATTAAAGATCCAGTTGGTCTAGCACTGTCTAAACCATCTCAATAACAGATGTTATTATTTTAAAAGAATAGGAAAATGTGGTAACTATTCTTACGTACACTATTATCATATTATAAAGCATGATATTTTATTATTATTTTAATTTTTCAGAAAAGTTAATAATGAGATCATTCAGACTTTTTTTAATAACTTTTAAGTTGTGTGCCCTAATAAGGAAGAAATCGACGTTTATAGTGAAAAATATAGATAAATCGAATTGTGCCTTTTAACTTCAAAACATAGTGTCCTATATCACATGCTCTTTACGAAAACATTGCATTTTTTATTAGCCGAACAAAATCAAGTCTTCAGCCCTTTCTTTTATTTAAAGGTGATGTTTTACGATGGCAAAATGAAACTCGTCGTTATCGGATGGAGTGACGATTTGTTTCATTCAATTTTAACAATCTGTTATAATAACCAATTTTTTGTGCAACCCGGCATTAAAGTAATTTAAAATCATAATACATACAGGAATTTATTACGGTTGGCCCCTCCTGATCAAGCCTATCCAAATTACTTTCAGGCACATGGTGAGATTGAGAAACATTCACTGTATGATTACTACTTCGCATTTGATTCCAATATGTATCTTTTTGGTGGTGGGTTTGTCTACTTGTACAATTACCTTGTTGGGAGGACTGTTGCGGAACTTTGTTCACATGATTACTCATCGATGACGATCGCATTAACGAGCTATTGGAATGTTTGTCTGTAGGGGAAAAAAATAAAACATACAGATAATGTCTATAATATGGTAATAAATTAATACACAAAATTAATACCATGGTGGTATTGTGTCCGAGAAGGCTGAGATACAGGATAAGCTTCCACCCATTCTCTTGGCTGATCCCATTGTGATATTTCAGTTTTACAATTGTAATAATATTTTTTGCCCGAAGAACTTGTGTGCTCTGACCAATCGCCAACTTTCGCAACAGAACTTTCTCCAGACCGGGAGTTACGGTTATTACTACTGCTACTGCTCTGTAAAAATAATTTTAAAAAAAAGTTATTTAATAAAACAAAAAAATCATAAGTAGATATTCAGAAAAATTTTTTTACACATAAATCTATTTTTCTAGTGAAATGTCTGAAAATATTTACCTGACAAGAGCTGTTGACAACTTTACGTTGACCCGATTCTCTAGTATCTCGGGAATCTCTTGATGAATTCGACCATTTTACTGAATGAACCATTTTCTGTAAATTATAAGCATGAAAGTGTTAATTTCAACTATTACTTCGGTTAATAATAATAATAAAATATTTACTTCCGGACTGATCCGATCATGATTGGTCCTATATTCATCTCTACTCCTCCTACTATCTTTAGGAGACCTACTATAATCTGGAACAAACATAAAATATACATTATTAACATAAATCAAAATAATAATACCTCCTATTCATATACAACTTACCAGAATATTTATCACTATTCCTAGATTTATAGTCTCTAGAATCTCTCTCCTTGTCTCTATGACTTTTTTGAGAGTGATAAGAACTTTTACTGGAATACGATCGATCTCGTGACGGGCTCCCTCTACCTGGACTTGGGTACGATGTACCATTACCTCTAACACTGCCATATTTTTGATCACTACTAGAATTTTTTGATACTAAATATTTGGAATTCTGAAATTTTGATTAAAAATATCATATTAGTCAAATCAACTACATTATAAAACACAATACATAGGTAAATTAACAATTGCTTTATTAAATAAAATCAAACACGACTATAGGGTCAGTAAATATATAATTTATGTTAATCTAAGTCTTTTTGTTAAATACAATTATCACTGTACAAGATAATCTACTAATTTTATATATTTGTTTAACAACTTTTATTAAATAGATTTTCAGTATGATTTTTTGGAAAATACAACAAAAATGTTCACTCAAAACAAAAAGCATAAAAAACCCTTAACTAAGTATTGTTATTGTTTTTAAAATATACAAATATGCAGTGCTATACTTTAGAACAGCAAAGGTCAACAAAGGTGCCCTCGTCATAGTTTATAGATGGATGGTAGAATCACCATTTGATTGCAAAAATCATGAAAAACCCGCATGAAAACGGTCGCAGTTATATGCATACCACCGCTTGTGTATATATAAGAAAGTCAATGGTATCATTCTAATTTAGAAAAATAAACCAGTAAGTCATGTAAAATTACAAGCGTTTTTTTAATACTTATATTTTTTCTTATTATTATTTCGGAGTATTCAAAGATCTATACATAAATAATAGTTTTACATTTTTACTGTTGTCCATAGATAATATATTGAAACTTTAGTTTGTTTATTTAAATTATAATTAAATAAATTTAGTTTACATGGTGTTGTTATTTTTGTATTAGCTTAATGCGAATAATGTACATTTACTTAATTGGCTATAATTTAAATATAATTAAAAAGAAAATTAAATCTAAAGTATATTTCTCACAATTCTCGTATAGTTCATGGTAAATTCTCAATAATACCATTTACAAATATTAAATGTAAGAATTAAGAACACAAAAAAATTTGGAACATATCGTAATGTCTTCTATGAGACTTAACCACTGGTATACTGTAGGTGACATATGAATACCTTATTTTTAATTCAAATATGAGCCATTATATTAAAAGGCTAAATAAATAATTTGAGCAGGAAATCAAATTAGTGTCAGTTATGTAGAATGTAACGTGTTCAAAAATGTGTAGCAATGTTCAGCAGTATATACCTATCAGTTAACACATTAGTTGACAACAGCTATGATTTAAAAAATTATTTAGTACATTGATTTAAAAAATATAAAATGGAAGCCAAATTTTACCAATTTCTATTTATTTGTTTTTATATATTATGTTTAACTAATTTTGATTTATGTTTATAATATAGTTTTTTTTTTACTGTTTTCCATCTTCGTCTATAACTATATTTACTAAACAACAAAACACAGAATGCTGTTTTTCGTTATTATATAGTTGTGTTGTAAGACCTAGTCGCCACTTCACAATAATAAATTTACTTTAATTGTTACACAATATACATTTTATTTGTTTAAGAATGGAAAATATATATTTTTTATTTCAGTAAATAAATACCATTTTTTTTTATTTACATGACGATGATTTAATAATTTCAAAACTTGCAAAAGTTCACAGTTGTGAAACAAAATTTTTTTAATGTTTTTGAACTTTAGGATTTGGCACGCTATAACTTTCTGTAAAATAGATGAATACTCGAAAATTTTAATGACAAATTAATATATACAGAAAACCAAACCAATATTATTAACCTTATATCCTAAAAAGGGTGGACTTTTCTTTTATTACGCATTTTTGGAATAGAAAATCGGACTAAAAGTAGTTCATACAAAAAAAATCACCTAATAATGATTAATAAGTAATGCCAGCAGTACACCCCTGCTGAGGCGATGCGAGGCAAGAATGTACTCGGTGCACTCACCTCCATGCCAAACCTAGCGGTCGCTCCCTTCCGTGTTGGGTTTTTTAGCATCTGGCAAAGGACACGAAGCGAGTGTGTACTGCTAGTGCCTAGCGATCATAATTTTTCAAAATTGTAAATGGTATTGAACTAAGAGAGGTTTAAACTGGTAATCTGCAGCAATAAAAACATGCGGGTGGCGTGGTATATTAGCTGGGCTGTCGCGGTAACTAACTTCAGCGGTAAATTTGTACTATAAAATTATGTAAAATCGTAAGTTAGGTTAGTATTGCTATATAATTTTTAGTTAACAATACCGTTTTAGAAAAACATTTTTGACATGAATGTCTTATCGCTGGGGGTCATCCTAAAAATTTGTCTGAAACATCACACTCGTCGGCCATGGCGACATACAACAACAAATCTATTTAAGTAGTTCCCAGAAAGTAAACACTATGCCAATAGTAAGTTATTCTTTTCCAGTTTTTATATAAGATAGTAATAATCGACCAACCGGTCTATTTATCACCAGTCAAAGACTCCAAAGAGTACGCCGCCAGAGACCCGATGGTCGAATTCATCAGCAAAGATCCTATACATGTCAACGATCTCCTTCTCGCCAAACAGCACACGCTAATGTGGAGCGAGGAAAAGTATCTCGAATTAGCGCCTAGGTCGTACAAGCGTCAACTCTCGTTACTATACGACGAGCATGCCGAAGAATTATCATTCCTATCTAGCTACCACGAGCATTCATGTTGGACAAAGTGATGCCTTACATCATGATGGCTAACAGTGAGATTCGACGCACCAACAGACGTGGAGTGAAACCTGAACACATTTTGTACATTGAATTCGTCTCACGGAGAGCATGTACTGTACGATCAAGGCGTGCGACAACATGAAGAAACTAATGCGTGAGAATGTTGAAGATAAGCAGTTCATGAACATTATAATCAAGCAAAACTTGTCCTTCCTTAAGTTTCGCAGTTTATAGCTATTTTCTACCGTAACCGCAAAGGTGACTACAAACAGCCGTGCGCTACCGAAAGTTCTGTGGTATCGAAGTTACGAGCTCTCCCAGGCCAAAGAGTACATGTGAGAAATGGTCCTTTCCGCGTATCCTTTTATAACAAAGAGATCGACATACACGATCCGCTACTGAACTCTTTACAATGAGTATAAAGCGTTCATCATGGAGGCGTGTAAAGAGTTTGAGTCACACCTCTATATTGCCAAGATGATGCAAGAGTGCCGCCGAATGTTCGTCGAGGAGAACCAAGGTAAACTAGGCGAGGACGAGAACGCTTAAGTCATCCTGAAAATTTGTCCCTCACATAAGACGTGTCCATGTGCCGATGTAACCGTATATAGCATGGATACTCATGATTTTTAACTTTAAAAATTTCAATAGTTTAAGAATTTACAGCATAACAGTAAAATTTAGGTATTAGATTTTGTTGTAGAATTTCAATGATTTTGTGTTATACAGTTTTTGAAAATAGTTTTCCAATCTTTAATTAATTATATTCCTACTTTTCATGTTCTAACTAATTGCCGGGTAATGTTGTTTCAAAAAAGATAAACATTTAATTTTTGTGTAACCAATTACTATTAATTTAAAACAGTTTTCTTATAGAAAGATTCAAGCAACAATTGTTTTTGGTTAACTGGTAGATCAGTACGATAAGTTGTTTGTATAAATTATCAATAACGTTAAAAAATGTTATTTCTTTGATAAACATCTAATTTATGATAATATAATGAGATTTAAATTCTGTCCTAAAAAACTGTGTCACGTCATTTAGAATTTCTATCATATTCATTGGCTACCAACAAACGTAACCCGAATTACTACAACTTGTACATACTAAATATATATTTACTAAAGATTCCTAACCTTTTATGAATTACCATCAAAATAAAAGTATTTGAACACAATATTTGGATTTTTTTAACATTAGCCGAGGATTACAATGAATTTAGATAACGTTAAACGATGTTACTTGATTACAAGTTTTTATGTTTTCGTGTCAATTATAACCAATTACTCGATTGAAAAATTTAAAGCTTTAGATTTTTTTTTTTTTTTATTCTATCAATCGCAACGTAATCCTTATTAGTAATATTGTTTATATTTTTTTCGAAATCCGTTTCGTTGGGGATCTACCCGACTTCGAGTATACAATAATATTGTTATATGTGTACTATCTATCAAAACAATATTGACAACTGGCCGATAGTTACCTGATATTGATGGGACGGGTTCTTGTCGTAATACCTGGAAAAAATGCAAAAAGACACACGATTGAGTACAATTTTCTTAATTAACGTCCGTTGGCAATTAAAACAACGTTGAACGCGCAATCTCGTCAACTAGGCTTTACCCATCGCTAATCCTTTGGAGTTTCCTCGCATGCATTACCATCAATGCCGATTATCTATGGAAATCTACCGTCCGGCAATGTAATTGTGTAATTAAGGCGTAGGCGGGCGAGTCGGTGGACTTAAGCTAGACTAAACATAACAACGAAAAATTGCGGCCGGACGCCATACATGTCGAGACCAAATATATAATAGTATAGTAAAATGTAATATGTATTAAAATGGAGTGAAAAAAAGAAATATACACGGACAGGGTGAAGAAGATGCTGTCAGGCGAATGGAGGGGGCTTGTCATCCATCGGGCAGGTACGTACGACCATTGGTCCGTTCGAATATCAGCTGGCGTCCGTGTACAGTGTCAACAATATGTGGTGAAATTATTTTAAACCATTTTTAACGCGAAAAACGATCAAATACATGCTAACAATAGCGAAACAAACTTACAAATATATTTGCCGTTTTCCGAGCGAATTTCACAACCGTCCGATTGATATTTGCCCGGTGACAATTTCGCGTACGTTAATTGACAGGTTGGCAACAGTGCGACGAGCTGTAGAAATTTTGTTTATGCGAAATTCGTCCTTGAAAAAATGGCGATAATCTGATTAAAAAAATAAATAGTAAATACGTCTTGTGACTCGACTTGTGTTGTGTTGGAATTGTTTTACACGCCACCGTCTATATTGTTTTTTTTTTAAGTCTAATAGAGTTGGAACTTGACTTCATTCTATTCGCATTTCACTTGCATCATGGTAGACGTTCAGGACTTAGTCAAAAATAATTTTGCGTGGCACAATAACAATGGATACAAATCCGGAAAAACGTAATAAAAAATACCGTTTTATAGATATCTATGTATTTACTTTTTACTAATACCAATGATTTAATGTGCAGGTATAATTTACTAAATTATTTTACGAATCTGGATGATTCGCGGAAAAATTATCTGCATTATCAAATGACCAAACCATTAACTGTTCAGGTGAGAAGTTGTAAAGATAAATTAATAATATTTTCGTATCCCAGATAGCAAAAATAATATTGATAATTCCAGTTTATTGATAATATTTTAAACAGGTTTTTATAAATGTTATGTAGCATATTTTTTTGTCATTTGAATATTGATAAGAATGTTTTATTATTAGGACGCATTGAGCAATATTTGGTATCCACCCTAAATATTTTAGTGAATATATCCGAGGGAAAAACATTTAAAAACTATTTTAATCTATGAATAAGATGTCTGTATATAAGTATAACCCAATGCAAAAGTATAAAGTATAAGTAATATTTATAGATAAAATTATCTAAGGCCTATATAGGCCTATTGTAGGTTTTCAAGCAATTTATGTTAAAATAATTTATACAAATATTTTATTTTACAATATAAATCAAACCCAATTACTATTACATAATTATAAATATAACTTAGTAAACAAACATTTATTGAATGTATAGTTGTACCTATTTCTATTGTAAAAATGTTGTTTGTTACATAAACAGGGTAAAATGTTGCTGTTAAGCAATATATTTTTTTTTTTTAATAATTTTTTATAGCTAATAAAGTTCTATATTTATTTTATAAAACTTTCAGAAATAGTGTACTGTTGAATTTTTTTTTTTAATGTAACTTTAAAGTGAAATAGCAAATTCATGTTGGCACTATATTAAAATTCAACAACGACTAATGATGTGATGTTTTATTCTTTACATATATTAACCAAGTATTATTTTCTTTTAGACTCAAAATGATTCACCGTGCAAGAGTGACTCTCCTCAACCATTTTATCATATGCATCAGGTAATGATTACATTAAGTGCTCGCCTAACTTAAATTTTATTATTGTATTTCCCAAATTAAATTTGTAATTAAGGCCTCAATAAAAAAATTTATACCTAACCCGATTTAATATATATATTTTTATTTTTTTTAATCAAACATTTTTTATTTTAAGGATTCAGTCATTACACAAAATTCAAGTCCTATACCGGTCAGATTTAGTCCTCGTATGGGTTCCAATGCTATAAACTATGCTCGTTCATCAGCAAGCATTCGTGTATCATTATCTTCTAATATATCATCTATCAGTAGTTCTAATATTGAACAGTCCATTACCAAGATAAGTGCGATGTTTCCAACAGCAACCGAGACGCATATTAGAGCCTTATTAAACAAGTCAGTGGACATTTCTAATATATTTTGAACAATTAGTTTTGATGTTTAATACCTACTCAATGTAAACTACAGGTATCACAATAGAGAAGCTGTCGTCATAAGTGCTTTACAAGTGGAAAAACATCCAATAGCTACGCCAGGACCATATACACCACCACCGATTAACCGTCATTATATGTCCCAAACAAACCAATCGCCTACAACAAGTCCTTCACCCAAACCCGTTCATTATTCTCCTAAAATGAAATTAAGGTAAATATTAGAATTTATGTTTACTTTTGTGATAAAAAAAACCTGTGTTCTTGCTCTTACAGTTTTATGTGTGATTAGAACCTTTTATCAAAATAAATAAAATGTATTTAGTTACCGAGATTACTTGATGACCAATGTTATTATGAATACATTATTTTTGAAATGTATGATATGTTTTGATTGGTTTTTTTTAGCATTTTTGAATGAATGTAAATTGTAAATTATTTTATTAGTTTTATTATATTAACGACAATAGTTGTGATATTTTGAACTGATGTTTGTGTTCTATATTATTATTTATTTTTATTTTTTTACCTTTTGTTTTATTTTATTTTTTTAGCATGATTTATTATTTTGTTGTTTCAGTATCATGTAGTGTATTTGGTATTTGTCTGATGTACTTAGAAGATAGACGATAATTTGATATTGATGGATATATATTTTATAGAATATAATGAAAAAATAGGTGAGTAAAATTTTATAGGATGTAAACTAAAAATTGTATTTAATTTTACCTGTCAATCCAATATATTATACATAAATAATTTATATTCAATTTAGATATTTGAAAAGTGTGTTCCCCGTGGTAGAAGAAACCGTTCTTTTAGATACGTTATGTGGAGCTGACAACAATGTTAACCAAGCTACAGAAACATTACTAACTATGGGCTTCAATAAAGGTCTTGACTTTACAAGTATAGTGCCTCAGCTGCCGAGAGTTACGCTAATAAACAATGAAAGCGACTACGATGATGATGACATATTTTGGTTGCGAAGAAAAGCGTTGCCAAACCAATTTGACAAAATTAATTCAACTTGTCCATCCAAGCCAGTAACGACGACAACGACGGTTGAAATAAAAACTCCAGTTAAAAAAATAACTGCTGCTGAAGAATTGAAAAGTATATGATTAATAGTTACACGAAGAAATATTAAAATCAATCATTTGTTTCGTATTTTATTTTTTTAGAAAAAGAATTGCTACAAAAAAAGTATGAGAGCCTAGAAGAAAAAATTATTGTTTTTGCTCTGGAAAGTACCGATTACAATGAACAATTGGCCGATCAAATTTTGAAAAATCATTTAGCCAATGAATCAGAATTAAACGACTCCAACAGGTACAATATATTAAATATTTAATGTGTGTATTTTAACTGTGTGATTAAACAAAGAAAAAATGTCTTTGTAGAAACCTAAATCATACTAATATCACAATTGGCAAGAATGTATCGTTGTGCGAAGAAATTAAAGTAAAAGAAAATGATATGACCGACTCTGCGTACTGGTAAGAAATTTTACAATTCAATTGAACATTTCAATAAAATCATAACTAAAATAGGAGGCTTCTCTAAACAGTTACCATTACAATTTTAACTATTAACATGCCCTTTAAAATAATTCACTGCTTCCACGTAAAATTCAATAATTGCTACCTTATGGCTAAGTCAAAAAACTTATTTATAATCTGTTCAAGTGGGAGTAACCAAAAAGTATATAAATAGTGTAAACTTATTTAATTATGTTAAAACAGTATTCCATAATAATAATAAGTATTAAAACAATTTTTTCAACCGTTCAAATACTTAAAATGTTTGTACTTAAACTTCATCGTTGTGATTTTTTTGTGTATTTTAAAACAAATATGTAGCTTTGATATGAAACTGAAAAGATATTGTTATTTATATCATCATCAAACTTAACGGGCCTTTAAGGCCCAACGCTGCCATCATGATGTGATGGTTTCTATAGACGAATTCGCTGTCCGAGACGGGTCGTCATAAATTTCTTAATATAAGTTTTAAAAATCAAAAATTACTTTACACCAAGATAATTACTAAATTTTCCAAGTTTCAACTTAGAATATTATGATTTTTGCAATGAATATAATTTTAAAAGTATTATTATAAAATTGTTTTCGCTGTGCATTAAGTCACAGTTTGATTATCGGTTAACCAAGAGATTTCTCTAGTCGTTAGTGTCAGAACAATTGGACCAAAACTACCAAAGGCCTGTCCAACGTTTGGTGAACTAAGTTTGCCCAAGTGACCAAAAACCATCTTCGATCCTTAACACATTAAAAAAACTTGGTTCTATTATGAATATAAAATTTTATTTTTTAGTGAGAAAAAGTCCGATACAAATTTGAAACAAGACGCTAAAAATGTACCAAAAAGTGGCTTAGCCAAAGGACCCAATAAAAATTTATTAAGGTAATATAGTGAATATTTGTATGTATATTTTGTCAAATTTCATAATAAGCGTTATGTTACAGCAAAAAAGATTCGACTTGCAACACTACAGTGAAAACCGGGATTAAAGCTAAAGGACCGAACAAATCGCTATTGAGCAAAATTCAATCATTGGCCAGAGGACCAAACAGTGATTTAAAAAAAGGTCCATCCAAAGGATTAGCCAAGGGTAGTATATTTCAGAGACTGTTCAAAAAATCAACTCCTTAAAAGAAAATGTTTTTAAACTTACTAATCATTAATATTGAATTATGTAATTTCTCCCTAGAGTTTATCATTATAAGTAGTGTTATAACCGATAGGACTATGTTACGTCCAAATACATTTTAATTATCAATATTTAAAATTACATTTTTTTTTTGTTTAATGTTAAATTTATTACATTATTCTATGTTGTAAATTACATTTTGTACTTGGTGTATTCTAATTACTACGATAATTAAATTAAAATTAATATAATGCAGTTTTATAGGTACAAATGAAGTTCTGATAATTAAATTAATTAGTTATATTAATATTGATTTTAATTATTCATTGTATGTTTGTTCAAGAATTAATTAACGTGTTAGTATAAATAAAAATATTGGCCAAAATGTAGACACTAAAGTTGTATTTTTTTTTTAATCTTAATTGAAACAAGTTTTATTATTTCATCCTAGTATTTTAAACTTAAGTAGAATTGCTTAACTCTTGCTGTGTTAAGTTAAACATACTTATGTAGGCAACAAGATAACAACATTTGATTTATACTGATTAAGCAGAAATGGAGCTCAAAAATGTATACGATGTAAGGGTTAATAATTTAATTTACATTAATAAGAAACTATAATTTTACAATTTTGAAAGAGTATAAATTTAATATTTATATTAACAATTTTTTTATTTAAAATAGATACATTTACAATTTCAAGAAAATTTGTGTATTTGACATACATTTTTCTTTGACAGTTTCAAAAAACCTATTATTTAAAAAAAACAAATTTATTTGATTTTATTACTAATGACTTTTATTAATTTAAATTAATAATATTTTAATATTTACTAAATATGATTAACACATGCATATTTTTTTAAAACAATAAAATTAATAATAAATTATTTATTTTATTTTCACATGCACACAAACGTTTATTATATTTAAAACAATATAAACCATGAATTAATATAAAGTTTATATTAAATTATAAACCATAATTTTCATCTTCTACTTTTACTAATAAACCGCTTTTAACCGTTAGCCGTTGCAACATTGTGTCACGTTCACGATTAATTCTACTTATTAATTGTTCCTTGAGATTTTCCGATATATACATAAGAGTTTCTAAAAATTAAAAATCACATAAGGCAAGTACTCGATTGGTTATTAAATTTTTCAAATTTCAAGTTAATAATTACTATGTGTATCCATTTGTAGTTCTTTGGGTACTCTTTTCTTAAACCAACCATGAAACAATGTATGCACAAAATCTCTTGATAAATCTGGATACAATGTTTTTGTGAGTTTTGGCCAATTGATGTCAGTCCATTTTTTTGGATTTAATTCTAATAAGCTGTAAAAAAAAAAAACAGGTTTATAACTTTTAACAGTGTGAATATTGATGCAAAACCTAATCGCTTCTATAAAAAACGGCCCGGCCGCATAATATTATTCTCGTCAGCCACCACCTTCGTCTATACAAGCGATCAGGGTGCATATGTCCACCACAGTGGATATATAAATAATTAATTGAAATAGTCAATATTTAATTTATCTTTGAAACTTGATCGTGGAAAAAGTAATATTACGTGCACAAAAATCATATATTTTTATATACTTGTCTATAATACGGAACAAGCCAAAGCACATTATTAGCTATAAATAATTAACATTATGTATTTAAAATAAAAATTAATATAGATCAACTCACTATTCTAATACTGTTAGTCTCAAGGTGCAATAATACAAATATGTGTTCGTGAATAGCATATTTTTTAACTTGAAGTTCCAAAAACCTATGGCTCTCTGAAACGTGACGTGTGGAGGAAGACCTTTTACAATTTTTTTCCACTCATCTGCTACAATTGTTCTTTTTCTTAAATCTCTCCAGTTTTTAGTTTTGGTTACTAAAAGTATATTAGTAAATAACTTTTGACGGAGATCTTCAGTCCAATCAACACGCTCTTAAAAAACAATAACTAATTATTTAAAAAAAAAAACACTTGACAGTGTAATTTGCAATAGCAAAAACAATTACCAGCTCGGAATGGTATTAATTTTAATGCGCCCCATCGCTTGCATAATTGAATAGTACTTCTTTTTAGAAATACACTAAGAAATGAAAGTTTCTCTCTAATTGCATTACATTTGTGTACCTTTGTGATCAATTTATCTTCTTCTTCTGCGAAACTTAAATAAGTCAAAAATTAAACACGTGGTGTGTAATAAAAATATAAAGTATATCGATGGCAAAAAGGTCTAAACGGCGCGGCATATATTATTGGTTGGAGAAGAATGCGCTTCATCCAATGCGCATACACAAAAACAACTGAGAATATTATTGTAAACTTTATGTTTGCAATATAAAGGACACTGCATTTTTTCTGCTCAAAAAATATGGTCTACTAATAATATAAAGGAAAATATAAAAAGTTGTAGCTGTTTGAAAAAAAAAAAATTAAAGAAATCCAATAAAACATTTTTAGCTTCTAAAACTGTGAAAAACGTTTTACCATGTAACCGTCGATACTATGTAAACTTAATAAAAAAAAACCTAATTTTATCTTCTCGGATAAATTATACATAGATAATGAAATGTTAGACATAAATTAATGCAATGTAACAGCTATGATAAATGTAATAAAACAAATATTCAAAAATGTAATATTTCATACACTTTTAATCAGTTTTTTTTGAAAATTGTCGAGTGTTTGAAAGAAAAACCCAGCAAGTAAGACAGTTAATTGGTATATGCATTTTTATGAAATTGATTAAAAAAAATTCTTTAACTATAGCCTTAATAATAAATAAAAAAATTACTCAAGACGATCTTCCGTATCCCCAAAAAGCTTATTGAATCTGGTGAATACAGAATATAGTAATCGATGAGGAAGTCCTTGAGATAAATAACGAAAGAAATTGAATCTCTGTTTCCTTGCTAAAGCCATTTCAAATCCATTTGCAATGAATTGTTGTCTATTTTTTATATTAAACTCCTAAAAAATATCCATTTTACATTATTGTAAATATAAATAGGTTGTAACAAATATTTATTATCTTATTTTATTTGACAATTTAACGATTTAATTATAATATCTAAAAACCTGTTGAAATTGAGACCAATTATAGCGAATAATATCATCTTCCTCCTTGCTAAAAGCACCTTTTTTCACAGACGGGTCGAGTCTTTTAACAACCATCATTTGTTCTTTGGTCGCGCTATGTGATATGCTGGTCTCTATATAATGAATGTCTACTTTCTTTGCGTCACTCGGTAATTTTATATCCAAATTTATGTAACCCTGAAATTTGTAAAAAATAAAATGTTCAAACCCGCCGTTAGCAAATTTATTATAATATGCTAACATACCTCGGGTACATCGTACTTTTGAAATAATTTATCAAACAGTTTTTTGCCGAACTCTTTTAATAGTGAAATTTCAGATGGAGTAGCTTTCCCACATTTAAAATCAATTGTGTGCGGTATTTTTTTTTCATACTCCTTTTTTACAATTTCTATGTGACAGTGTGTTTTAGATTTTATTTCCGATTTAAGGATATCTTCAAACATCTTTTGACTATTAAACGAGACTTCGGTTTCATCTTCATCTAATTCTTCATCCAAGAAATTACGAATATGATCAATATCATTGTTGGTTAGTTGATTCAATGATGAAGTAGTAAATGATCTAAATGGATGCATATAGAAATTTTTTTTCTTTAACATTTTTTGGTATACATCATCATTGGTATTAATGTGTTTGAAAACATTTTTAAAAAGATCATCATCATCATTTTTTTTTTTTTCAGTTATTTTTCCATTCTTCTTCGGAGACGATTCTTCTTTGTTGCGTTTCTTTTTTATCTTTTTAGCCTTATCATCTTCATAATTTTCATTATCAGGTATAAAACTACCCTTAATTATTCTATTTATAAGTTCATTTTTCTTTAGAGTGGATTCTTTATTGTTATGCTTCTTTTTCTTCTTTTTTTCATAACTATTAGATTGATTATTTAAATCAAGTTCAATGTCTTTAGAGTTTTTGTATTCAACATCCTTAAATATAATATTTTCTTTTTCATCAAGTATACTTTCACATATTAATTCACTCCTAATTATTTTATTCACAAGATTGTTTTTCTTTTTAGATTTCTTTTCATAATTTTGAGATTTATTTATTTCACTAAATTTAGAATCACTAGTATTGACATTAAAGTCATTCGTAAAAACATTATTAGTAATTTTATCGTCTTTATTTTCAAGTACAAGTTTGTTTTGTTTTAGAGACAATTCTTCATGATTGTGCTTCTTTTTTTTCTTTTTAGACTTTTTTTCATAATTATTAGATTGATTATTTAAATCAAGTTCAATGTCTTTAGAGTTTATGTATTCAACATCTTTAGACATAATATTTTCTTTTTCATCAAGTATACTTTCACATATTAATTCACTCTTAATTATTTTATTCATAAGATTGTTTTTCTTTGAAGAACATTCTTCATTTATGCTCATCTTGTTTTTCTTTTTAGATTTCTTTTCATATTTTTGAGATTTATTTATTTCACTAAATTTAGAATCACTAGTATTGACATTATAGTCATTTGTAAAAACATTATTAGTAATTTTATCGTATTTATTTTCAAGTACAAGTTCATTTTGTTTTAGAGACGATTCTTCATGATTGTGCTTCTTTTTTTTCTTTGTAGACTTTTTTTCATAATTATTAGGTTGATTATTTAAACTAATATCGATATCTTTAGAGTGCATGTATTCAATATCCTTAGACATAATATTTTCTTTTTTATCAAGTGTACTTTTAGGTATTAATCTATCAGCAAATGTCCTGTTTATAAGTTTGTTTTTCTTTGGAGAAGCAACTTCATTAATGGTCTTAGTGTTATTTTTCGACTTCTTTTCATAATAATGAGGGTGATTATTTTCATTGAGTTCAGTATTATTAGTGTTTAAATTATTAATAAACATATTATCTAATTCATCATCTATATTTCCAAGCACAAGTTCTTCATTCTTTTGAGACCATCCTTCTTTATTGCTCTTTTTTTTCTTCTTTTTAGCCTTGATTTCGGAATTAAAAGATTGATCATTGACATCAAGATTGGTATCATAGGTGCTTGTATGCTGAACATTGTTTATAATATTGCTATCTTTTTCATAATTTATATTTTCAGATACAAAACTATCCTTGATTATTCTATTTATGTGTTTGTCTTTTTTTGGAGATGATCCTTTATTAATGCTCTTATTTCTTTTCTTTTTAGAATTACTTTCATCACCATGATATTGATTATTTTCATCTAGTTCAGTATTATTAGTGTTAATAAGTTCAACATTATTGAAAACAGTCTTTTCTTTTTCAACATCTACATTTACAGGTATAGCTTTAAATAAATTATTTACATTTTCGTTTTTTTTTGTATCCCTTTCCTTTTTCTTTTTTTTACCCTTCTTTTTGTAATCAAATAGCTGATCATTTACACTTTGTTCAACATTTTTATACATAGTATCGGATACAAAAATATTGTTATCATTTTTATTATTTTTCATTAGTTTACTTTTTGATTTATGGTTACTTTTTACTTCTGAAATGTCATTAAAAGTATGATGCGGATCTTCAGAGATTAATGAACGATTATATTTCTTAATTTTTTTCCGTTTACTATTTATGTCATCATTACTATTAATAATTGCTGGGAGGCAATCCCATACCAAGTTCTCCAATACCGATTCACTTTTTCTTTTATGTGGAGATGTTCTGTTTTTAGTTTTAGCATCACATTCTTTTTTTGAAATATCATTAAAATGTTCATCTGATTTTTCAAGTGTTAAAGAAGAATTATGATTTTTCTTAAATTTTTTCTGCTTACCATGTAAATCGATAATTTCTTCCAAAATTAAAATTTTTGACAACGGTTCCAATTTTCTTTTTTTCCTTAATTTCTTCTCATTTGAAAGCTGATACTGATCATTATGTGTATGAGAAGACATGTTTTGTATATTTAAAAAAAAAATTAAAAATTAATCGATAAAAAAAATAATGTCAAATCAAGAAGATAGTGTAGTTTGCATTTTTACTTAAAGCACGATTATAAAAATAATAATAATATATTAAACTGTAATATTATCTTTAAGTAAATTACATACTGCGGACAGAATAGAAAATTAAACTTTTCATTTATAATAAAATTATACTTCTTCAAATGATAAAAAAATCATTAACTGACTAATAACTACTGAAGTTCGATTCGATTAAAATTAAAAAAAAAAAAAATAGTAATAATATGATACTATATACGATTAATTAATGGATCAATAATAAGATCTAAGTATTTTGTTAACAATACTATTAATATCGTTATTAATAATTTTATATAATAATCAGTAGCAAAATCAACGAAATGATTTACAATCATTGATACTAATAACATGATAAAGATATAATATTTAATCCGTGCTAAATATAAAATAAGCATGGTCGAGTTCTCCCACTTCTCGCTCAAGTCCTATCTGCTAACACTAAACACTATTTTATAGAGTATAGAATCGAAAAGCAACATCTATGAACTCAGAACTGTGTCTGGCCTCATACTCTTATTATTTTTTATCATGGAACAAATAAAAAATATTACTGATAATATTCAGTGTGACCACTAATCAGTTATAGGTCGTACCAACTACCAATGTGGATTTATAAATCCACCTTGGGTCGTACCGTTTTCCTTTGAAATACCAAAATATCTCATTGTTATGTTATTGACTATTGTGGTTGAAATTCGAAACATTTTAAATAGTTTTACAATAACTATTGTATTGATTTATACGTATTACATTTATTTGTTTGGTTTTATACTAATACCATATGTATCATAGCTTAGTTTTTTCTAATCTACGGTTTTATGTACATTTCACGTACCTGTAATGTACGATATTACGCACAGAAGTAATATTATACAATAGTCTCAAGAGTTTGGCAAAATATATAATATAATTTATAATACATATTATTATTATTGATTAATATGTGTTAATTTACCATGTATTAAGAATATGGATCAATCAATGCACAGGTGCATGATATACTATTTGTTTATATTGTATAATAACCACAGATATACTCAATATATATATAAATATATGTACCTTAGCACTTTTATATTAATTTTGTTGTACAAAAAAAAACACAACTCTGATGTTAATATTTTATCAAAAGTAAGTTTCTGCTTTTGTCAGTTGTGTATATTTTATAAGCAAAGGGTTGACATTTTTTAATAATCTCATTATCACTCATAAAGTATACCTATAATAATCATAAAAAAAAAGGTCTAGAAATAATACACTTGGAACAAAAAGCTAGAGTATATTTTATTTTTCCTATAAAACTATTTAAAATTCGTTACAAATACAATGTGAAAATTTCTTCAAGAGAGAATGTTTTTTAAACAAATGTGTTTTGAAATAGTAGGATATTTAACTTGGTAAATTTTGCCTAAAAGCGCAATAGTCAAATAAAAAATGACTCAGACGTACAATACATATCTGATTGGGTCAAAACCTAATTCAAAAAACAGCAAGAGCAATACACTTTTAACTTGACAAAAAAATCAAAAACAGGCGCCTTATGGCCTACCTTCCGCAGGGTATCTTACTGTCTGACCAAGACTTCTGAAACGAAGAAGAAACTAACAAACTATCACTGCACTATACTATGATATAACTATTTCTAGTGTAAATCTTTATTGTAACTTACTGCTGTTATATTCGACTAACCTAATCTTAGTATCCAATATTTTGATTACACCACAACATGTACTTCATATCATACTGTAAAAAATGTAATTTTTTGAAACATTTATACTTACAATAAATAAATAAGCATAGTAAATTTACTTATGTATTGATTATTGTATTTTATTTTAAAATAGTTATTTTGTCTACCCTATAATACTAATTGGAAGTTACATAATGCTATGTAACTTTAAGCTAAAAATGTCTTATTCATTAGGTAGCCGTAGCTCCCACTAAAGGGACAAAGAACTTTATTAGAATTTTTATACATACATTTTTAAATATAAATATTAATAAAAAGTATTAAAAGGCATTAAAAAGCTATATACTAATCCTATTATAATTATTCATCAACAAATAAATTATTTATACCTAGCTACAGTATTAAGTCTTTCAAAAATAGTTCTTTTTTTAAGTTTTATAAAAAGAAGAAAATATTTTAAAATAAGTAATAAAATTATTGTTTGATTTTTAGATTTTAATATTTTTATAAACTTTTTAGTTCTACACCTTGTTATCGATTTTATCGTTAACATTATCACGATTCACAAAGAACAAATCTTGTTATATTTTCAATTATATATTAGACTTTTTTTAACATATTAGTATACAATAAATAAAAGTAAAAAAATCTTGTTACCATAAAATATTAGTATGTTTTTTTCTGTTGTTAACACACGAGTAAAACAAACAAGAAATACTTCGGCTTATATTGTTATAACAAGGCAATTAGTTGGCATTTGCTTGTTGAGCTTGGAACTTCTGCTGTAACTTGGTCAACTTTTCACGGTGTTCATCTTGCTTGGTCTCCAACGTCTGTATTCGGCCATCGATTCTTTGTAATTCACTTTTTATGTAGCCCATTCGTTTCTCGATATTTTCTTTTGCCTCCGTGTGATCTTGGCGTAACAAAATGGGACCGACCATTTTGTACACCTCGCCGGTAGATTTCAATAACGCCAGTTCTTCTTTGACAATTGAATTTTCGTTTAATTGCGCATCAAGCTGTTGCCGCATACCCGCTAACTGATTAACTTCTTTCTGGCATTGTTTAAATGCATCCAGCTCTCGTTGGAATTGCTTTTGAACTTCCTCGCTAGCCATTTTAATAGTTCTTATTTCTGTACAACAATTACAACGAAATAATACACGGCATCAGCTACGAACACACAATTTTTACAATATTTAATAATATTTTGTATTTATAACTTTTATTACAATATCGACATAATATTTTAATCATTAACAATTATTAACATGTACAATTTACTATCACAATTATTCACATGTGCTACATGCACAATTATTTGTATTACTTGAGTCTACAGCTTTAGATAATATTATACAGCCTGTCGTGCTTGTGTCCATAGATAATCTATGGTTATATATTATTATCTATGGTAATACCACGGTATAGAAAAATGAGCAGGGATTCTTATCGCCAAATTTCTGTTATCAAAAAAAAAAAACCACGAGCAAATTTTTTTACTGGTGTATTGTATGACATTTTACTTTATACCTTATGTAGAGTGATTTCACAATATTAGAATTACACAATTGGGTTAGGGTTTGACACGTTGAACTTATGTTCTCATCAGCTTATGGCGAAGTCAGTACTGACTACTGACTACCATCAGGCACCTGACATTGAAAAAATTCTTTAAGCTACACCATTATAATGTTACATTTAAACATTATTATTTTTAGTTGTGTATAGATATAACACATAATACTAAATTATAGAAATATACAAATATATATATATGAAAGATACATATACTCTTATATTTATCTGGGTACCAAATAGGTATTAATAAAATAGTTGTCGCTTTTTTTTTTTTACGTTCAAAGTGATCCATCTGCATTTATCTATTCTGTGCTACTATGGAACCTCTAATTTGACTCCTTTAAAAGCTGTTAACTTTTTTTAATTTGTTGCAGGACCACAGAAATTGCAATTTATAGTTGTTTAAAAAAAGGCTAGCCCAGCACAGAGAAATTCGAAAACTTGTTTGCTCAATTCTTAACAATTTCTTTAGATTCTACAATGTGTCTGTATACATCGAATGAGTTATTTTTTTTTTATCAGGGAATCGGGCTTTCATTTTGCTAATGTTATTCCATCGTGACGATTTCGAAAGCGTCAGTTATTTTGTATTTGTCGGTACAAAAAACATATTTTCAATCGTTAAATACCAAAACTTACAACTTACATAGACGAGATAGGTAAAATGTTTGATTTTTTTCTACGTCTCATTTGCTATGATATCAGCTGAATAAATAATAAAATATATGTATTAGGTATCGCTCTCGCTTTCGCACAAAAAAGAACTAAGGTTTTGAATTTTTCAAAAGCAAAAAAAAGACCAATATATCAATTTTTAATATTTATTAGGTATATGACACTACAGAAATATGAATAATTATAACTAATATCGAGATTAAGGTGTAACGTCTTTTATATATGTAATTGAACACTTAAGTGACTTACATTTACAATATAGGTTTTACTATCCAGAATGTTCTTGGATCATATAAACTTGGGTGCCACTAGACAGTGTGAAAAACATTAAAACGAATTTTTTTTTCTGAAAATCATTACAAAAATGTTAACAGTGATTTTTTATAACTGAAGGTATAATCTATTATTCAGTGTTTAGTTCGTAAAATTCTTTACGAAACCCAAATCTATAAAGTATTTAAGAGGGACTGTATTGGCAAGCGATTCAATTTGCTGCGCTAATTGTTCTACGACTAGAAGTTTTTCTGCAATCGTACTTTGCGTTATATGTTCTTGAAAAAAATTTGAGAATACATCTTTACCATCAACGATCAGTGGTTTATCGTACTGCGGTACCATACAATAGTTGTTTACAAAATCACCTAACAATTTCGTAGGCGTATTACTGAAAAATCGGGTAAATTTTTTGCCGAAAGAGCTTAATTTATCTTTGTAGCAACTATCGTTTTCCCCAATGTAATTCTCTAAAATTTTATTTATGTTTATAGATCTATCTTTGTAATATGACACAGTTTTACAAACATTTTTTAATTCAGGTGGATGAATTTGAAAATATTTTTGCGGAATCAGTGTATTTAAAAAATACAACGCTTCTGACATGTACTCAAGCATCACCAAACTTTTCTGAAATTGTTTGACCGCAGAATTAAATATTTTCCAGGCGTTTGTACTATCAACATCACAATTTCCACTGGAAGACGACGGTTGATTTTCGTTAAGACTATGTGCATTAGCTTGTTCATTTTGTTTACCTGCTGACTGCTCTTTATCTTTTAGCTTACGCAATTCCTTTACCTTTTTTTGATGCTTTTTTTGACTCAAGCAATGTCTTTCCATTTGGCTAATATTTAAAATAAGTTTTGTCCAGTTTGAAAATTTGACCATCGCGTCTGCATACAGACACGATAACGAATAAACAAGCAATTCATATTTTAACGAGTAATTGCCTTCGGTTACAATATTTTCGGATTGTGTATTTTTTTTTAATAAATAACTTACAGAGAAAACATTATCTGTTATACCTGGCAATCGGACTTTCAAGTCGCTGATCTCTTTCCATCCTGGTGCTTTCAAAAGCTGATTAAATCTTTTAATTTTATGTTCGTCGGCAAAAAAAGCATATGATCGATTGTTAAAAACAAAAGTTAAAACCAATAAAGCACTTACGACGTTGAAAAACATGATGAAGTAAACTGAGTCGCGATTTTTTTTTGTTTAATCTTAGTGACACTATAATCTGATCGATAAATGCACGAATGAAACTAAGATGTTTTTGTGGTTTCAACTTACATTTAGTACTTTTTTTCAGTTTTTTTTTACCAACCAAAAAAAAAAACACATTTTTTTTGTCTTTTTGATATGATTGACAGTATAATAATTAAAGTGTTAACATACTGAAAAGGCCAAAAAACACATTTTGTTTGTCTTATTGCTATGTAGGACAGCTTAAGTTTTACCATAGGTACCTACAGGTACCCATTTTTTCATAATATAATACATTTTGTGAATTATTGTTTTCGCTCTAATGCAAAAAAAATACCGATTTGATTTTATATTCAATGGGGGGATATATATTAATTTTGTGTGCTCATTTTGAGTTTTATGAAAACCACGGGTATGATATTATAGTTTGTAATTTATTCTTTAATGAATTATTGTATTTTAATTGTTCAGTATAGTGTTTCTATGGGTTTTTAAGTCAATGTATTTTGAAATAATATAGGATATTTAGCTTAGTACGTTTTCTTAAGTAACAATAAATTACTGTAAACATTTTATTTTATTATTTGTATAGAATGGATCTTTAATCTATACTCATAGCAAAAATTGTTTAAATTAAAAATAATTCCTTGAAGCTTATACAAATTAACCGGTGAATTAATTGACACGGTCGACATTTATTAAAACCTCCTTTTGTCTTAAATATTGCCTATACAAAACTCCTTAAAAATAGACCTCATGCAATCCCCTTAATATCATAAATCACATTCAGTTGATACCATGGACCTTTTACCAAGGTCTATATACAGGACGACGCACCAACGTTTATTGAGGATTAAAGTATATTAGGTATAATTATTAATTTGTTTTAATGAAACTCTATACCTATCAAGTTAAAATGGTGAGCCATATATTAACATGGCACAAATCCATGTATCGTTGTTTAGTATCCGTTTCCAAACCGCACAATCGCGTTTGTTTAGCCATGATTATAATTTATACACGGATATATAAGTTTCAAAATTTAATATTAACAATTTATACAACATATACTATAATATAATATGTTATCAGTTATGTTTATTATGTTTTAAGTGTTATGTATTGAGTGTATAATAAAACAACACTATAGTATACTTATCTATTTGATGTATTTCAATACCTACTTATTTACATTGTTTTGCTTTTTAGACTTCGGACTTCGGAGTGTCATACTTATAAATACATTTTAAAAAAATCATCAAATTTTAAACCAGCAGAAATTACCAAAGTGGGGTTCAGTATCCACAGATTCTATTTGTTTTCTTGGATGTCATCTTGTTACATTATGGGGTGGGTGGCGAAGGCTTATAATATAAATGTATGGCCATACAATTAAAAAAGATTTTAAAAAATGTATTTTTTATATAATAGACTATAGACCGTGTATCAAGTTCACAAGGGAAAGGCTATACAGAATGTTCAAAGAATGCAATACTGCGTATATTTAATTTAGATTTATTTTTCCTCTACCTACCAGTGCTAAAGAAGCTGATTTTATCATGGATGTTTATTTTATTATTTTTTAATAATTTTTATAATTTGTGTGGTTGTAATGTATGTCCATATAATTTTGTCATTGCGTGTAAATACTATTAATCATCATGCTGTACTTGATCCCTGACCGGAATATAATAATTGTTAAACTTGAAATTTGAAAATCCTGCCCATTTTTTCGGGTTTGGACCAACCGAAGAAGTATTAATCGCAAAAGATTTCTGATCTACCTATAGACATTGCTACTCGAGAGAAAAAAGTTATCGTGTGTTCACTTACAGAAACAATAAAAAAAAAAACCCACCATTGTAAAACCAATGTCCAATACCTTCTTAGGTCTGCATCGATACTTTTTGTTGTTGCAATACAATTTATAGAATTTTTATTTTATTTTTTTGTCCATTGCCGTATAAGCAATCACATTTTAAACATTGTACTCAATTCTTCACACCATTTCTGCAAAAGAGTGGGGTTGAGCGTTTTGTCGCACCCTACCACCAAATCCGTCATTGATCGATGGGACCTATACAGAGTCTACACAGGTTCATCGGTCCTAGCTATAACAAGTATATACAGCGTGATTCGCTTGTAACACGAGGGTTGTTAAAACTCGCACAACTTTTTCGTTTGCACAAAAATCAACACGTTTAAATAAAAGTAATTACCAGATAATATTTTATTAACGTTAAATTTAGTAATTGTAGATATCTAACCACGCAATTGTCTTGCTTCTCGTGCAGTAATTTGTTTATTACAATAATGATTACAAAATTGTAAACCGGTATCAGATAAAGGATTTTTGACGGCGAATTTCCTAGGTTTAATTTTCAACCTGTTGTTTTAATGTAAAATAAAAAATAATAACAGTTTTCGGCAGAAATTATTAGGCGTGACAATTTTGACGTTTAGTGCGAGTTTATATTATGTGTTTCGTAACTAATGTAAATATGTTTTTTAGTCGAGAAAGAGTAAAAAACTAAACAATTGTGTGTGTGTGTCAGTTGACAACACATCTTTATAATAC